TTTTAAACTCTACTAGTTCGAAGATGCCTTGTTGTCAGCTAGTCAGGAAGTTTCTGAACAGAAGGATTAAACTCTGTTACATTACATCGAGGAAGGAGGGTTGAACCAAGCTTGGTGTTAAACCTGTATCTCTCTGAAATTCTCGTGAATAAGCGAACTGGTTGTACTGGTTCGTGAACTGGTTGATAAAGGCAAGGGGGCTCCAACCAAGCCTAATTAAACACGCGCCAGAATGTAATGACTGCTGGATTTTCCGTTACAATGAATCAAAGAACACAGATCTAAACAAACGACAAACATCAGTGACAAATAGAAGGGAACTGTTCTTATAAACAATGTTCTGATGGCAGTTAATGTTATATTGAGAGCTAACCAAAGAACAATCTTTTGCAGGTGTCATGAAGGAGATGGGCCATGTGAAACAGAGTTAATTTTATTTAAAAAAGCTTTTAAAGAACGTGGCTAAAGAAAGAAAGGTATAAAAAGAATGCTAATATTTCAACATCATAACGAAATCGTCTATGTACAGTTAAATGTAAAATGAATAAAAACATTCAACGTGGTTCTGCTCAGCACTCCCATTGAATTTGCTTTACTTTCAACAGAAGTCACAAAAGATCATTGCAAGTGGCCCTTGCAAGCGTATCAAAAACTGATTTTATAAGCACAATCAAAATTCATATTGTGAAAAATAAATTTTACGATATGTGTACAGGTTGTGGCAGAGAACTTACTAGGACAACGGAACCTTTTGACAATGCAACGAGATATGAGGCCAACCGAAGCCAACAAACCAGCAAAAACATTATCACTTTGTGGAAGCAAAAAACATCAAGAAAGTTAGTGAAACCAAGATATATAAAGGCAATTAGACATGCAGTGCTAATTCAAAGATGGTTTAGAATATCGTATCTTTTATTAGAAATTATGCCAGAGTTGCCGGTTAGAGACAGTTTGCTTACATGTTGTAAGAAACTAAGCTTACATTGCTTCATTTTGGAATCATAATATATCAAAAGAAACCTAGCAGATTAATCTGTCAAAAGCTTAATGTCTGTTAGGAATGAACACAGACTATCCAGGCAGTGTTACAATATCTAGAGGTATATGCCATTGAACTTGCAATTAACGTGTTATCTGTTTCATTGTTTCAGAGCATTAAACACAAGATCCCAAATTTTGATATTAGAACTTTGTGCAAGTAAATTTGTTGAATAAATTGTCGTAATTTATGATTGTATTGATGTCATTGTAGCTTGACAAGAGCTTTTTAGCAAAGCTGGAGATATAGTTCTGTCGTTTATTCAAATTAATTACAAACATATGGCTTGATCCTGTTTGTTTTTTTAGTGTGATACTTCGTGTTCCTCAAACATAACTTCCATCATATAGAACTGACAAACAATCTTGCCCACACCAGGGCAATACTCTTCCAGCATGGCAAGATGAAAGGAGAAAATAGGGTGGTTAAGAAAGCTGACTCATGAGCCTCAGTTGACGTGCTTCCGTGTTCACCTCTGTGCTTGAGAAGGCGAAGGCATTATCGGGGATGCGGTTGAGGGCAAATTTAACTATTTAACACATACTCCCCATCGACTTTGAGGATATAATGTTCCTATACACAATTAATGTCATACATGTAAGACTAAAGAATTTCATAGCTTTATAAGCACAATTACAACGACTATTTACAGAAACTAATCACACGTACTTAGGCCTGAAGTTCGATTGGTACAATCAAAACTACATAGAGAGATTTCCTTGCAGGAATTAGAATACTACGTAGTACTACATCTAAACTGCATACGGGCTAAGCCCAATTACAATGATAAGTAATTATCAACAAGGATGTTTGAAGAACCTCCTTATTAGAAGGTAATTACATTACTACCCCAAACCAAACAATATAACTGAACAAAGCATCAGAAAGCAAAAAACTTCTGGTTGTCTACGTTAATAGGTGATTATGACAAATATTTTTCACCTGAAAAGAATGTCAATTTTCAACGAGTCAACAAAAAATGTTTACTTAATTTCCAAAACGGAAACAGGCAGGGCAGCTGATCCATCAAAAATTGCTTCATTAGTAACTAGATTCTAGCTGTACGTCATGAAAAAAAAAACGATGATGAAACGTTGACATGCTCGAACGCAAGACATACCAGTAATTGTATGGGGATAGGATTTGGACCGGCTACTTGCAAAGCCTTGTTAATGGATATACGCTAAAATATGGAATGCCATGAAAATACAGACTTCAATTGCCAGTGACTCAACAGCACTTTTCTTTTGTCTTATTAGCAGTGGGTTGGTCTTTTTATATTGATTTGAAAAGGCATCGCCAATCTGAGCCAGTTGATGTGCAACACGGCTTGCACAAGAGTTGTCCAAAGAGCCCGCTGCAGATGCATTTGTGCTGTACTCGAAGCGAAGAATGTAGCTTACTTTCGAAGCCATCCTTTCATAGGGAAACTGACACATTTTAAGCTGGCAGTTTTTTTCTAGAAAAAAAAGCAAACCATGCTTTTGCTGCTAGTTCTCAGAAGGTGACTCTTCTGTAAAAAACAGCGTCATTCGTAGAAAGTAGGCCATATATTCAGGAGAAATCGAAGACATGAAGTCGAAATAGCAGCAAAACTAGCACAAAGTTTGCCACAAGACCAAAAAGGATATTTACTGTTGTCTAGAAGGATAAAATTAAAAAGTACACTTACAGATTCTGCCAATCGCTTTGAATAAGAACAGTTTGCACTTGAAAGCAAGAATTTAAGAACGGGAGAAGGAAAACAAGATGGTGCGTGCACAAATTCCCAGCTCGCTTCTCTTCTTCTGAAATGCGCTACGCAATAGCTTTGTTTATATCCTATGATAAGAACCCATGACCATGTGATGTCATGCGACATTTCGGCGCGCACTGATTGGTTAAAGATTCTGCAAGATGACGACGAGCTTTGTACTTTCCAGAGTATGCATCAATTAGGGCTAAAGATTCTGCCGGAAAATGGTTTCATTGTGTTCATACAACAATATAAACATTTCAAACAAAAGCTTCGACAAAAGATCAACCCACAGTTTTTTATGCAGTTTGGACCTTATATACAAGAAAACGTAAATCTTACAATAAGATTGAAAGTTTCAGCATTCGCTTGAGTGATGGGATTGTAAACAAATTCTTCCTCACTAACCGGTACTGCCTGTACAACTAAAGCAGGGAAATAAAAAGCTGAAAGTACCATAATTAAACGCGGGAGGGATTTACTCGGGGATGAACAATAACAAAACGTGTAGCTAAAGAAGCAGTGTGCTTGATGAAAAATACTTCAACATATGCCAGTTTATTACAAAGGAAAATCGTAACTGGATGCAAATGCACAAGAAGGTAATCCCGTTTTGAAGAAATTTGAAGGCAAAGATCTACGGGCAAGATAAATGCAGAAAAATCCTAGGTTTACGAGCCTTTCAAAAAGGCACACGAGGCGTGGAAGGTCCTGTGTTAGCATTAACCGAGGCAAGGAAAACAGCGAGGCAAAGAATAAAATATAGGGCGAGTTGATTGCAAAGTGCCTTCTGAATGACGGCATAGAAAAATTCATGCTACGAACATCCAAAAACAGCAAAAAGGAGCTCTAACCGTGAAGGGCATATAGCAAAGTCGATGACAAAGTCAAGGCAAAACTCATATCATATGATGAGTGTTTTATCAATTAAACTGCAAAGAAACATCGGTGAGGCCAGATACGAGCTGAAATGACACAAGAACTAAAACAGGCAAGTGTCCAACTAAAAATCAAACCAAAGAAGACAGATTACGCTACGAGACGATGGATTTATACAAAGCAAAGTATCCAAACTTTCAGTAGGTCATCGATTTTCTCAATGATCTAGTTAGAAAAGTCTTTGAATAAGTCTTAAAAGAAAATTGTTCCACGAATGTTTGGAATAGGGGAAAAATTGAAAAATGTTCCGTTTTGAGAAAAAAGTTGAGTTATGTTTTAACTGAATGAATAAAATATTGTAATGTTGTTTTTAGTTTAAAGAAGTTTTTGGAAATTTTTCAAGTCTTCGTTAATCCATTTCCACTACATTTAAACACTTTCTCAAGCACCATTCTCTGATGTACATGTAATAAAGATCAAAAGAAAAATCAAATAGCAATTGAGAGACGATTCCATACATGACCGAGAAGCCGATGTCATTTTATAAGCTTAATTAAAGGTCATCGTTTTCATGCTATAGATTAAATTGAAACTACTTCAAATAAGAAAATATTTATGTATTCCCATGTAGCCAATTAATTCATATAAATTTTTCTTAGCTTTCAAACGACTAGAGCAAATTTCACTACACAGGAATTATCCTCCGATTTTGTTTCCTAGAGCTAAAAAATGTCGATTGCGTATTGCAACAAAAGAAAAGGTCTTTCTTGGCTGCTGCATAAAACGTACAGGCTTTTGAAATTTCAAAGAGATATTCCATACATCTGGCAAGGACAATGCCAGCAGCCGCTTCATTGACAGTACAAGTATTGACTTTGAAATGTGAATTAAACTGAAACAGGGGCGGACTGCAGAGATCTTGGGCGTTCGGCCCATGACCTGGAGGCCTCCGTGTGGATCACAAAAGGCTGAAAACAAAATAGAGCTAGGCCCTCTGTAGGTCAGTGCCTTGCCGGTCAGTCCGAACCAGAGTCTATCGTAAAACCAGTCAGCAGTCGGCAATCTTATTCAGTACCATGATATGATGCCACACCAGGAATTCAAAACCTCTTTAATACCAAAAACACGTTGAATCACTGTTTCGAATCTAATTTATCCTATGAATACGATTGAGCGTCAATCGGCAGATTATATCCCCCTGCAACTTTCAGTTCAACGTAGAGACTGTCGTGAAATCCTAGCCTGTTATCGCGTTCGTGCCCATCTTAAGATTTGTTTCCAACAATGATAAACACATTAAAGATGAACCTGGAAGTTTTGTGTTCGCATAGAGAAACTTAAAAGTGAGCAGCTACTGTTTTTGATCATATTTCATTGCAATTTTTAACTAAGATTTGAAGCTTTACCTTGGCTAATGCAGCAACATTTAACTGGTGTTAGTCGGCTAACTAACAATACATTGTTCTGATGATGTTTCCAATTATTGTCACATGTCCATCCAAGAAATATTTAAAGCCTATGCAGATCTTCTCAGGTACATTTATCGTCGAATCAGCCTCAAACTCTGAAAGGAAAATCAATTCTGATAGATAACGGCACACCAGAAGGGGGATAATTTTTAACGTCATCCGTCAGATTCTCCTTGAAACGTTGATTAAAAAAGACGCGTTTACTGGAAAGATTTCAAAATGAAAGGATGGCTCAGAGCTCATTATTCTGAGAATTAAAAAAGAAATCGTATGATAAAATGGCGTGTGTGGCATTCTATTCTCTATCATGGAAGCTTTGGCACACATCGTGTGATTGCGAAGTGGCGCAAATGGACGCCTTTAGAAACACAGGGGTACATATATTAAACCAGGAGAAAAAATTATAAGGTGAAAATGGGGGACACAAAGAGGTACGATGATCTTTGTGCCATGCAGCTCACTAGCTTCTCGTTTCCTTAACCCAAATATAGAATCATATTAAAGTGCAGTTTGCAACTTTGTCACACTTCCTCGCAGATTTGGCTAATTTTTGTGTCTTCGGGAAAACAGAAATAGAAAATTTCGGGTGTAATCTAAGCAAGTTCTAAAAAAAGATGTTTGAAATTTCTCGTTTATAGCAAATTTTCCGTAATCCGACGTTTCCATAAAGAATTGGTTGGACTACCTCAACAGCCATCAAGCAGCCATTAAAAAACTTATTGTTAGAAAGCTTAATATTCTAAGACATATTGTGTTTGAAAAAGAAAAACCAGGATCTATATTCAAACAGCTAGTATGGAGACTGTCCTAGGGTTAGCCAAATTTGTAACTTGTCGCCATTTGTCACCATTGCGATTTCAAATATTAATTTAGAGCATTCGTTGCCATAGCAACAAGAAATATATTGTCACAATAGTTAATCATTTCTTTGTAAAAACAAATTTTAAGTTGCGACCTCCATTTGCAATGTACCTCGATTGGGAAATTCTGCCTCCAGTAAACAATACTAAATAGCAGTTCAGATTGAACAGACAATGCTTCAAATTCAAAATGGCGGAAAAGTGATAAAAAGTTGGAGATTTCTATTGCTTTTAGTATTGGAACCAATTGTGATATTCACTTCAAAATTTTAAACTTCCCTTATTCAAAACTTCCCACTTACGGACCCATCTCACTGACAGAGATTTTCTACTGACGGACGCCATCAATTCACGGACAGATCCTACTAACGGACACCATTCATTGACGGACAACCCCTATTGGCGGACACGTCACTGTGAGGCACACCTCACTGATGGACACCTTTTTTGACATACACTTTCCACTGACAGACGCCTCAAACACCTGTAACTTGCAAACACCTGTAACTAACGGACATCTTTTACTGGCGGTCACCTCTTAACGGTGGAAACCTCCTACTGAAGGAGACCTCTCAATGCCGAACACTTTCTACTGACAGTAGCATAGGTTCCACCCTTAGGTTCTTCAGTGTTTCAAAGCATTTTTGTGGCAGTATAATAACAAACAGCGATCTGTAGCCTGCACAATGTGGTTATGAGAGCTGAGTAAATTGCAAACCTTTTAACAATCTGGACGACATCTTCATCTTGAAGCACGTGTTCTTTGCCAACTTTTTGCGGATTGTGTTTTACCGAAGATCCCCATACCAAAGCACTAAGGAATAGGAGATAGAAAGCGATTTTTATAACCAGCGCGCTATAAGGGACCATTTCACAGATGCTAAGAGTGCCCGCAAACACAAAGCTTGAAAAGCTGATGACCATATTGTAATCGTTTCATTTCCTTGAAGATGCTAGTGTAAAGCTGCAAAAAAACAAGGATTTATAGACAAGGATAGCCTGTGTCAAGAAATTATCGAATTCAAAAATACGTTTAAAAGAGCGATTTGTTCGTCTTCGCTGTTCATGCCAATGCTGGCAGATGGCATTTACAAAGAACTCACTTTAATATTAAAAATGCGAATTGCAAAACATATAAAATTATTCTGTGCCTTTTAAATCAAAAGTTTTTAAAGCCAATTTTATCCATGAAAACACACAAAAATTTGTCTAATCAATAAAATCTTCCAATTTTTATTCTTCCAATGTTGGCTTTGATGTTAGCTTAGATGTACGAAAATAATGGTTAATGGCATAAACTTCTTACTGCTTGAGAGCTAGATGTTTTAGGGAACTGTAGATACCGTTGGCAAGAAAACGGAAACGTGACGTCCGGGGAGAGGTTGACATTGCACGGGGTCAGCCTAAACTTGCAATCAATGGCTGCTACAAACTTAAGCTTAGTGAATGACTGAATGATCTTTCAACCGTCAATGGCAAAGGCAAGGCCTGTTTTCACATATTGAGGTAGAGGTATAATTATAGGCTAAGGAAACCAAAAAGCATTCAGGAGTTTTATGTCAAAACCCGAGTGACTAGAGTATCTACTAAAAATGTTAGCTTTACTTTGTGAAGAAGAAAGTAGTGTAAAGCGATGCTTTATGGACAGGGTCCACCTAGAGGGGGCAGGGGGGAAAATTGCCCCTGCGCCGGCAAATAAATAAGGGCCTGCTAATAATCAAAATGTCTCTATCTAAAATATGACTCATAAAAATGAGGAGCAGTAGTTGGGGTGTACCTTTGGAATCAATTTGCATCAAGTTGAATCTAATCTATTTGATGTATGTAGACATTGAACATTTTGTTTTGAAAGAAAGTCATTGTTGGTCTGTAGAGGCCTTAAAATAAGATTCTACATAACCGGGGGGTGGGGGAGGGGGGGGTGTAGGGTCAGAAATAGCCTCGAAATCAGATTTTTTATTTGAATCAAGCTGTCTTTGCTGCTAGCTGTCTTTTTAGGTATGTCGTCAACACGTTTGTCATTTTCAGCACAGAGCACAAAGGCGACTGCTTCCACCGTAAAACTTAATTGATTGCACCCAGCTATTAAATTCACGATTGAAAAGGAGCAAAGAACTCCCTGTACTTTCTTGATGCTTCTATTCACAAAATAGGAACTGGATATATAACCAGTGTTTATATGAAGCCAACTTTTTATGGGCAATATAATCGATGGGATTCCAAAAGAAAGGAAAATTCGTTTGATTAAATTTTGACTATTTTTAAGGGAAAAATTGCTGCTTGCTTGGCTCGCTTGGTCAAGGAAAGTGCCCTGAATAATTCAAAATGCTGTGAATTTGCAACGTTTCATCAGATTTTGAATGTCAAATAAAAATAGGCCATAACCAACTGTTTTTTCACTTTGAAGCCTCGTATGGTCTAAAATACTGAGGTCATGTTCCCGTTTATATGAAAGTGCCTTTGTACCGATGTGAAGCTCGGGATGTAGGTCGTGTTAGTCAGCGTTTCGTCGATAGAATGAAACATTACGTTTCCGCGAGCTTCAGGTAAAAAGCAGTTCCAGAAAAGAACATCCGTGGCTTATTTGCAACTACCAAAATTCCCAAATAAAATGTGATTCGACACTTGTTCAACATTTCTTCACAAGTCAAGAGTATGCCAAAAACAATAAATATGAAAAAAACTACAAACGAACAGAGAAACAAATATCCCAAGATCGTGTATACAATGTGTATGTTTACTAATTTTCGTGTATGAAATCAGAAAGCGCACGCAGATCAATACTGCAATTTTAAAAAATAGATGACATTCAATGAGGAGCACAATAATAAAAAAAATAAAGAATATAGTTTCAAACATCAAACAAATTAAACAAGAAAAAACAACATAACAGAGAAAAAACCCAACCAAACCATAAAGAATCGAAATATGGAAATTACGAGTCGCTATTGAGACTTTCAAATTGGTCTCCCTTACAAGATAACCTCGATTCTCTGTGTAAACAAAAATGTTTTTCTTCAAAACTGTCGTAGCTAAGGCCAATTTTTAGAATTCTCTTGTTATTTAAAACGATCAAGCATTGATGTCCCTGGATGCTCGATGACGTAAAACCCATAAGATTTTTCCATTCTGCTAACCCGCAAAGTTTTACCATTTTTAGAGGCTACTGTTCCCTAATTCTGTCAACCAAAAGACAGGAACACGCTTACAAATACAAAACTGGAATATCCTCTCGTTTCCCCTTGATTAATTCCAAATGCTGGATTCTGAGGACGTATGCAATCGGGAATGATGACGTAATGTCTTTTCTCGCTGCATTCAGCTCAGCGAAATATATTACTAACTGTACTTTATTGTTAAAAAGTGTCCGCAACCTTAACTTCAAAAATTCAATCGAATTCTGTGGCTGCAGCGCATGGAATATATAAACATAACCCGAAAACATTCTTCAAAAGTTGTGAAATTTCGCACTTTAATTCGATTTAAAAACGATATCAACGAAATTTAAGGAAATAAACTAAACGCAGATCCTATATATCATTCAAACAAACACAGGCATCCACTTTAGGAAAACGGAGCGTTTCGAAAAGCGAGAAAGCGTGATGCCATGATAGCAGGACATTTGAGGCCTAACTGATGTATTACACTCCTGGTAGACATTCATATCAATAGAATATTCTTAAGAGGGGGAGAGCAGGTGTTTCTAGATTTTTATGTCAGCTGCAAGTTCTTCAGCGCATAAAGAAATGCTCCAATATGTATGTAGCAAATACTGAAATTATTAATAATATAAATAATTTTGAAGCGAATTGCCATGGCCTGACAAAAACCTGCAGCTTCAATATTTAATGCCAATTCAAGATTAAGGATTAAAAAGGCAATAGGACTTAAAGTAGATATAAATGAAGTATTAATGTACCTAGCCAAATTACTCTGTGTCAAATAAATCATGTATGCCAAATGACTTTTAAAAAGAAAAAATGTGGTTCACCGGTTTTTACAAATATAGACTCACTGAAAAAGAATTTTCACTTACTATTTAAACTCCTTCATAATACTTTTGTGCAAATTGTTGCAGAAATCTCCAACCGAAGTTCTCTCTCCATTCAGAACAACAGGGGCTTCGTAATCAGGTAGTTGTCCTTTTGGTTTGGTATATCTAGCAACAGAAAAGAACTTTAATGCACAGTTGTAAGTAGATTTTAAAGCAATAACATTTAGGCCTATCAGCTGAAGCTTTGAGATAGAAAATCAAATAGACAAGATTAATTAGCCGTGTTCGCATTGCTAATTATATCCTGCTGGTGGATTTGTCTCCAGTTCTTTGCAAACAGCTTCAGGATGGACAGTCATTTCAGAGCTACAGGTTTAAATGATTAAATGAAAGGGAATTAAATCCATAATTAGAAACATTCATCGCAAATAACCTGTAAATAAAGGCTAGGTTGTAGTCAAGTAATTTAAAGAATCTTAAGCATCTTAAAAGGCTAAAACTGACTGCGGTTTAATTGGTCACATTACTAAATAATACATTCTCTTTGATATAAGGAGAAAATGTCAAGTATCTTTGGAAAAACCCGGTCGGCTGGTGGGATACTAGAAGCACATCTGTTTATCGCCAACTTCATTATACACCTAAGCTGCCGGGTAACGAGCCTGCATTGCAAAAAGAATAGCAAAGCATACAGGAAAGAACAAACTACCCGACAATTTATCCAGGGAACCTAGAATTGCTAAGTTGAATTGGACAGATCAATGAGCTGAATTGGATGAAAACCTACTTCAACGACGTCATTAATACTACTTAAAGGAACAGTGTCCCAATAAACAACACAGCAAAACTGCTAAAGGGTAATGATGGGCTCTTGAGAGCACGAGACACCATATGCTATAAAAACAGCAAGCTATGTAACATGTGAGATTTATTCTGATCTTCTAATGAAAAACTTCTTCTACTACTAACTGAAACGTCACCACAGGTTGCTTATTGAGTTATGTCTCTTCAGGATAAGCTAATTTTACAAGCTTGATATAAGTACCATCTTCCTAGGGTACAGAGGTAAGTGCCTGAAGTGTTCCTCAAACTTATCAGCTGATTTAGATGTAAGAAGGCGTTTGAAAGAGAGCATCTAAATGGGCAATACCTACATCTAGATATTTTTCACTAAAATCACCCTCACAGGTAATTTAAATTATCAATACCTCTGGGATGCTGCGACAATTTAATACAAAAAGCTACAAAGAAATCATAGACTACCTGAAGATCTTACTAAGCGTGAAACTCGTAGCACCAACTTGTAGCTGTTTGGTTCAACACAGAAAGTATTTACCGTTTTGCTGTTTGGCATCATGTACCCCGCTAGAGGCCGTTTAATAGCAATATTTATTGTCAAATCACTGAACAAACAAAGCAACAGCCAGTTTAACAGCATGACCAAAATGCAAACGGTTTGCAAAAACCAATGAAAAACTTACATTCGGGATAAATTCAAATAGTCCCATATCTTTTCAAGGAGATCATCGAAATTCCATTTGTGGTGTGCAGATATAGGCACGCAGTGAGGGATCTTGTAGATTATATCCAGCTCCTGTTCAAAGGGAAGGTTAAGAGATCAGGATTTGTTCAGAGATAGAGTGAGTACGTTTTGATCCTAAACATAGGTAAAATGCTGGCTTATACCTATGTCAGCTTTTAAATGACACAACAGTTTCCAAAGAAATTTTGGTAACAAAGAACTGAATGGAAAAATGCTTTAGAAAAAGATTGCATGAGCAACATGGAGGCATCAATAATCATGATAAAACATAAGTTACAATGAAAAAAATGGCAATAAATGTCATTCCAGGGATACTGTATATAAATTTATCAATAGACAAACTTAATAGTCATTTTTATCATGTTCGGAATTGGACAAAACTATCAGGAAAATGTCTTCTAGCTGAAGAGCAGAAAATGCACTTAAACTTCAAGAAATTCCTCTGTTCCTTATGGATACTAAAATATGCGTATATTTTACTGAAACCTCTTGAATAACTTTACCTGCAACTTCAAAATCCACAACATAAATACGATTAACTCTAGCTCACGCAAATCACGAAAGAGAGTAGTTTTTGCAGCTTTGTAGTAAACCAAGGTTAAGCCGCTAACAACATTTTGGGCAAAACTAAATCATGTGGCTGAAGCAAAGGTATGAATATTCCAACAATAAGTGCATTTAGGCAACCAGTGAGCCCGAGCAATCGTTTTCATAGACCGATACAGGGCTTATGTCCTCTAGGATGACACATCACAAAAACTTCATGATCATCCAATATAGTTTATAATCAATATTAAAGGCTGTCTTATGAGTGCGCAGGCATGAAACATTGGGAAACAACGAATAAGTCCTATCTTGTATTCGAATAAGTTTCTCTAATGTATCAATTTCCCTGTACCTCTGTGAATCGGGCACATGCTAGAGCAGACAACGCATACTTAAGAACTATCATCGGCATTTTCTTCGTCCATTTTCAGCACTTTCAAAAACGAAGAACACTCTTACTTGTCATTGATATAAAGAAGTGTTCGTTTTTGTGACAAACCCAGTATAAACAACTATTCAATTCAATTCGATTTTATTCGAATACTACAGAGGAGGAATATAACATTAATACTTTGATATACACGACTAGTTACTACACCTCAACTTCATGCTTTAATGTATGCAGAATAACAACGGAAAATGGAAATAATAGGTGCAAATTCGCCAAACAATTATTCATGGAGGAAGCTATGATATAAGCTCGGCGCAGAATGGATTGAAGAAATTGATGACAAATTAAACTAGTTTAAGCCTTATCACTTGTGATAATAAAAATGGAGAGTAAACAAAAGAGCATAAAATATTCATATAGAATGGAGTATCATACCTCGATTGAAATTTGATCAATTTTGTTTAGAACATAAATACACGGTATGTATACCCTGAAACCGAAATATTTGGAAGATTTAAAGACATTCAAACATTTTAATAAAGTAGGGATCGGATAGACTCACTCGATCAAATGCTAAGCTAAATGTTCGAATATTTAATAACATAACTAGTTACTATAACAACAAAGATCCATATGTGTAAGGTTGAATTAAAAAAACTTATTCCTTTAAGCTTCACTTCTTGTGCAAGCCTGAGGCAACGGAATAAGATTAAAACAACATAGGATGCTCCTTCTGCGAAGATCATTCACCAGAACTATTGAAATTGATATAATGCGATCAGTAAGTCAAGAACAGGCCTAAGAAATGTTAAAAAATGATATGTGTCAGTGCAACGATATTTCAAAGGCTCAGGTCTGATGACTATGAACTGTGACCATGCTGCGCTGTGAATTGTTACTTGAAGATACACAAAGATGATGGGCAAATATAGAACAATCACAAAGCAAGCAGAGGATCAAAAGCGCAAAATTTGAAATATATGCAGCTTGTTCTGAAGAATCATTGAAATTGTTTTTGAATAAAATAATTATTGTTGCTTCATTACATATGGATTAAAGCTGAAAAGTAACGAAATAATTACCTATTTCCTTCAATGACGTCAATAAGATCATCTTCTGTAGCGTCTTCTCTTAATATGACATCTGCATTGGAAATCTTGTACTCAGACAAAATTGATTTGACATTGTCTAAATCTAAGTATGTTTGATGAACCTGACGAAAGCAACGAGACAATAAGATGTCAAGATTTGATAGCTAGGGAGATCGACAACCAAGTATGAAAGTCAATTCACTACTGATTGCCAAATAAAAGTTTTATTAGTCAACAAAAGACTGCTTATGCAATGAATAATTCCAGGCTTTCCTTCACGCATATTACATAATGCTCGAATCATAAGAAAACCATGCTACGTAATACATCATGCCAACAGTGTATTCCGTGGAATATTTCATAAGCATTGATATTCAACTAAAGGCAAGTTTAATGCTTTCAAAAACAATTCGAAGCATGCTACATAAAACTTACAATATAGTTTCCCTTATTTCAAAGTATTATTTAATCAGAAATGTGAAACCAGTCTCGATGCTGGCTGCAACAAAGCTTAAAGACTCTTTAAACTCAACTAGAGACTGATTGAAAAGATATCCATTTTATTAGCATTTGCTGGTAAACAACAACTACCTTTACGTCTAAAGAGAAGGAAACAAATCACGTGAAGGTTTTTGAAAAAATGGCGAATCTAAAGTAGTGTGCACTGTGAAAAAATGGCGCATATAAAGGTGTTCACTTTAATCTGTTTTCGGATATTCCTAGAGAACTAAAAGTCATCAACAGTCTGTGAACAGCTCCTTCAAAACACTAACTCGAGTACCATTGCTTGCACAATCATTACATATGTATTTTTTTTGTAGCAAACAACTAATTTATAGTGCAAATAAAAAACCAGGTCCTGCATCTCACATTGCTAATCATCGGATTATTTTAGTTTCAAAGAAGACTTAAATTACAAAATGCCTAGAAAAACGCAGTCGGGACTATAATATATATGCGAGATTACCGTTGATGTGAGGTTTATGCCACCCTTTTCTTTCTTTTTGACTGAAAGATTTGGTGGCTTCTTGTTCAGCCTACGAGACAAAACGAGAGCAATTGCTTAAGTTCTACACTAGATCAAAACAGGGGCAGGTCTCTACCAGGTTTCACTGAAGAGACAATTTTTCGAGGGAATGTAGAGTGAGATGGCCTTTATTTAAAATAGCGGTAGCTTTGCACCATAACTTGGTTTAATAAGGTACAAAAATTCCAGTTTCAATTACAAGTCGGAGTGCAGGTTAAAAAACGCAGTTAAAAATTTGCTTGCAAAACAACTTTGTTAGGATCAAAATAAACAGACATTTCTCAGAGAAACTGTGCTCACATTAGAATTTATGAATAAAAAATTAAGAAAGAGGTAGATAAGGAAAAGAAAGGAAACGTAAAAGCACACAAGGTAGAGCAAACATGAGAAAAGGAAAAGTAAAATGAAGTAAGTTGAGCTAAACTTGGGTAAGAGAAAGTAAGATAAGATAAGCAAATGCAATGGAAGGTGAAGTAAATGAAAATGTGATGAGGTAAGGAACGGTTGGGTAAAAAAGGGGGTTTATGTAAGGACAGGAGATAGAGTAGGTGACGTGAAGCAAGGAAAGGGGAAGTTGATGTAAGGACTGGAGGAAGGGCAGTTGACGTGAAGCAATGCAAATATAGAGCTTTGAATAGAAGGTAATGTGAAGGAAGGAACATGAGGTAGAAGAAACGTTAGATAAGAAAGGGGAAGTTGATGTAAGGACAGGAGGTAGGGCAGTTGACGTAAAGTAATGCAAATATAGATTTTGGGATAGAAGGTAATCGAAGGAAACATGAGGTAGAGGAAAGAAAGGCGAGGTAAGAGAAGGTCAGGCCAGAAAAAGGAAGCTGTTGAAAGGATAAGAGGAAAGGTAATGTTAGGGATTATGCGGTAAAAGAAAAAGGCTTATTGATGGTTTAACGGGTTAAAATACAAAGTACCTTATGCCAAAGCCTTCGACTTCCTTTTCGAGGATTTTTTTATGGTGCAAGGGTTTGAGAACATCGAGAACTATCAGAATGAGACTGCAAGTTCTAGCAACTGTGGAAGAAAAAGTTAACAAGTTGAAAAAAGGCAAAACTGAAACTGAACTTGAATAAATAAGGATAACAACCTGAAAAATATGCAATCATCAGATAAGCGAGGTTTATTGCAGCAGAGAATCGATTTCGGGGTTTATATATCGATTTTGCAGAAAAACACCTTTTTCTTCCTTTGGATTGTTAATTTTCTTTTTAGGCCCCATGTACTTCTTTAACTGTTACTTTAATTTGGCATGTGGTTATGATCGTTGCATGATGCGAAATTCTAGGAAAAGGTCTGGAGTTTAATAAATATGGCTAATATATACATTCTGCCTGCAAAAAGACCTATAGATGAAGAGAAAATCCTCTATAGGTGGACAAAGACGATTCCTAATAACCTAAGATAAAGAACTGAAGTCAATACTGACATTTATCCCTGGGCGCTTTAAGTCAAGATGGCAAGATTAGAAAAGGATGATTTACTTTCAGTATCATGGTAGCAACATAACACCAGGTATACATTCAGGAATTGGCAACATGGAATGACGCAATGGATACTAATTGCGAATTGCGTACAACCTGCATTTCCTGTGAGCGTTTATCCGACCCATTAAAAATCATCCTACGGCTTTTGCAATACAATTTACAATTATATTATCTTTATTGAATCGCTGACCGGTCCGCGTACAGTCAGAATACTGCCGCCTTTCGGCCGACACACAGTAAAAGAACTCATTAAAAATAAGGAAATCTTGTTCCGATGGTTTAAACCGTCACTAAATAGCACCTCAAAAGAAAAATCTTCGGCAAAATGGAAAGTCGGTGACTTTCTTTGGAAACAATTCATGTTTGACGGACCTGCTATGACCTGCCTGCCTCTTCCTTTCCCATCTTTGGCTCCCTCGATAATTCCAGGAAGATCCAAGAGCTACAATAGAACAATGAAATCATATAACAGAGGGCCTGCTTTAATTTGCATTACAGTGGAGGTCTTAACTCATATTTGAAGAAAACGCACCCTTATTGTTACAAAAAACAGACTCTTATAATATTAAGCGCTTTGAAATTGGGCTATCAGGCAGATATCTAAATTGGCTTAACTTTGTGGTTATTTATCTCAAATAGCTAAGATTTTATCCAGAAAGGCGGAGACAATGAATTTGAATTTGGATTTAGTCGGTAGCCAAATTTACGAAACCCATCCAACTAACTACGTTGAAATTTTTCTGTAAAGCTTACTGAGAAGCTCAGGCTAGAGTAGTTTAAAACCAGAAATAGGCTGACAAAAGTTCTTGGAAAAGGAGTGTCAAAACAGAGAAAACAACAGCAGATGCTACACAGAGCTCAGTAGGAGGAGCATGGTCACTACAGTTCATGCTTAACTGGCGAATAGAAAGCGAGTAGACGACTAAATTCTTATTAGCACATGCCAACACTCATATAGCTCACTGTACTCTAAAAAAAGTTTGCATGTTTGCGTTAGATAATCGGTAGCTGGGCGAAAAAGCTGAAATAAAGGAAAATAATCCTGAAAAGGTTGTTAGGATTTTGCACTCACATTATAGCAAAACATACAAAAATATCCAGCATACTTAAGTGACCCGCATAAAAGAACTGCTATCTCTCCTAACCACTGTGGCAGATGTTCTACAACTTTACGCTGTAATAATTGCAAGATTTCCACAGTTTTACAACAGAAACAATACCAATTCCTCAAATGACGTTAAACAGGAGATAACACAAAAGATTAATACACTGCACAAGTAGTCATCGTTATCGGCCACCGTGCAATAAAGCATGTCATAGCCATTCACAAATGCTGCGCCAAGAAGCGTGCTTCAAGCTATGCGTAACTGGAGCGATGTTATGTAAACAATATTTTATCATGTTGATGGTTGACGGAAAGATACGGTTATGATTAAAAGGAAAGTAGTTGTAACACCATAATTTCAAAGAAACATTGAATTTTATCAGCGACATGCAAACCATTCTACTTCGTTATTACAAAGGCTACTTTTCATTGCTTGAAAATGCTGACGAAATGCAGGGTCACGTGGTTGCGCAGATATTCATTTCGTGTAACCATGGGAGTTTTGAATGTTTCTATGTTGGATTTCAAACGGCCCACTAGATATTGCAAAAATAATGTTAGATTTATAACAAAAAGAGCCAAAGAGCTACAAAACACAGTGGGAAATTAAATACGCCCACAGACGCTAAGTGGGTTGATGTGCAGCAATGATAATCATCTACTGTCCTTTCTGCATACTTCATATTACGAAATTAGAACTATACATTTATTAACACAGTATATAACTCAGCACTGTGCCTGAAAAATTTGCGCTTTATCGAAAGTTTGCGATTAAAATCAAAATCAGGTGCAATTTTGATAACTGATTAGAAAGCGTCTTCGTCATTCATGTTCATTTTTACTCGCGCAAATTTCCGCTGCGGTAAAAAGTACCTGTGTATGTGTAAAATGTATTTTCGTTCAACTTCGTGCAAAAAAATTGAATGATCACTTAATAATCAAAAACAGAAACGGTATTGAAACTCTGTAATCTAAACTTTGGTTCGTGAGAGTTGCTCGACTTATAAAACGAAATGCCAACGGTTCGTTGCAAAAAATGTGGGCCTTTTGCATAGCTTCCATTTACTAGTCATACCTTGCTACTAAGTATGGGTCTATTCATTTATCTCTGATTGTAATTGTTTACCGATTTTTAGCTATTCATAATGTCAATTTTAAACAGTTTTTTCTGATTCTGTGCTGGCGAAGTAGTACACTGCATGCAAAATATGCCAGCTTCGTTGTAAAAACATGCCTGACAGAATCCCAATACCAATTCATTTCCTGTAGAAAGCTCCCTTATTGCTACAACTGCAGATTCTATAATGATAACAAGTCACTATATCTTCAAATAGATGTAACATCCCAGACTTAAAGTACATTAGTTTGTCGGTACAAACATGCTGTTTATCGGCAATCGTATCAATAATGTCAATCATAGTTTTATCAACTTAGTCTTGTAGTTCGAGTTATTTTTCTTGTCCTGAACTTATATTAATTAGTTTACAGAAAAAAGTGCTGCTAGCAAAGTTTTGGCTTTCTTCAGGTTACAGTCATTTCTGGTCTTATCTGTATCTTTAAGGTATTGAGTTTTCTTTGAAAATCGTTCCAATGAATCTCAAGAAACTATGAATTTCATAATAACTTATTTTAGGCACAGAAGTTTGGTTAAAAATAAAACTTCCTATGAGAGAGAAACTAGCCTTGCTAGGAAACAGCTAAGGCTACTTAAACAAGTTGCCAGTGGTAGTACACAAATAATAAAAACCTGTACAAACATACCTGAATTTTCGCTCCTTTGTACCTGATGACACCTGAAATGTGAATTTGCTTAAGATGAAGAGATTAGGTGTATTGTAAGCAGTCCTCAAGAAAAATTCATCTTTTTTGTTCATTTAGCATTCTAATACATTTTGCTCTCTAATACGCTCTTTAAAGGGTACAGTTCAAAACAAAAAAGGTGTTGTGAATCGAAGAAGACCAAAGAGTCATCAGCGAAGGAATGAAAACCTATATAGGTGGAAGAGAGTAGATCATCGATGAAGATCATTTAAAAATCTATTTGCATTGTACTTTTATGTCTCTATGAAAAAAATCTTAGGTTTAAGCCTGTAAAAGCTGGAAATTATAGCTATGTCTTATTTTGTTGCATTCCTAACGCTATGTCTAGATAATGTGTCAAGAAAATGCCTGTCTAAAGTCTTTAGTTTACTGGGCAATGAATGATGGAAAGATTTCTTCCCAGGTAGTACCTAGGAGAAATGTATCAAAACTTTCCAGCAAGCAGTTACTGTATCTTTTTGCAATTATCTTCTTTGGCAATTATCTTCTTATGGCATTTTGCAATAATCTTTTTACAATCATTTTTGCAATTATCTTCTTTGGCAAAGATCTACATCGAGGCACTGGTAGCACTTTTCTAATCTAATATTGTGAGACAATTTTTCTTCTTCAAATTTCATCTTTCTTCCTTATTGCTTTAGCTTCTTTAAAAAATATATGTTGACAAAAGCTTTATCAAGCCCCTGCTTAAACTTATTCCAGTTAGGTCGGGTCTGAGCCCCGGTTAAACGGTTTGTAGTGTAAAAAAATCACACCTAGGTTAGACTGGGTTACCAAGTGTGGAACTTGAGTTCGTTTACAATCATTAATGCATAACCATGTTGTAGGCTCCTGTCTCTATATGTGCATACATACCCCGTTAAAATAACAACCCGGGTGAAAGAACAACCCGGGTGAAAGAACAATCCAGGTGAAAGAACAACCTGGGTGAAAGAACAACCCAGTTCCTTGCTCATACTGTTCCTGTGATTAAGTGCAGTAGAAACAGAGATTAAGAAGATTAGTGGTTTGTAAACAAAAACAATAAACAAGAAAGTGGACGAACCTGGCACAGTGGTCAGTGTGGTAAATTCATAAGCTGCAACTTCTGAGTAAACACCAGCCAAATTGCTTAGCAAAGTTGACTTGCCAACAGATGGAAATCCAACGAAACCAACACGAGCATCCCCAGTTTTGGCAACATCGAACCCTTAATGCAAACAGTCACATCAACCACAGGGGAAGTAGCTATTATTGGTCACAACTTAACAATCACATGAAACAATTAAACAGCAATCAAATGTTCGCTATAAGATACTCATTTAATGAAAGTTTCCTTTAAGGTATGTATAAACACAGCATATGTATAAGCTCAGAACTTTTTCTATTCAAGCTTTCTCTATTCAATATTGTCAAAAGACTAACTGATGTGTCCTGAAATGTATGTCTTAGACCCTTTAGTATCTATATAATTTTTCTGTTTTAGCGGGCCATAAATTTCCATTGAAAACTCTCTTAAGGAGGCTGTAGATTTTACAGTCTGAATTTTCCATCGTCTTTTTGGATTTAGATTTGAAGGATTTTTCATCACTTTAATAAAGCAATTAAAAGTGTTAATAGATGTCTAAACTATATCATTATCTTTGCAAAGCCAGTTTGAATCTCTGCTTCAAACCAACTACTGTCATTCTCATCTCACATGATCTTTTAGAGTAGTACTTATTTACGCCACAAAACCTAGCTAGAACATGCTACAAATCCTTAAAGCATTCATCTAAAACGAAATGACTTATACCGACCCTCCCTTCTGATTTATGCTTTTTAACAGAGGTGGTCTCAGTTGTATCTGACAAAGCAATAGCATACCCTGATAGTGACAGAGGCTAAATTTCTAAAATGTTTACTCTTTTGCTCAGGGCCATCAAAGGTAGCTCGGGCCCAGGGGTGATTTGTGGCCTCGCCCTTCAGTCTCCAGGAGAACAAGGGAAAAACCCTTTTTAGGTACAATTGTTGATAAAGTTTTTTAAGGATTTTTACAAGAATGTGCAAAATGAATCAAGGACATGTGGACATTTCTCTGTGATAAACTTACAGATGTTGATTTCATATAGCTAAGTAGCTGAAATAGTAATTTGTAAACAGATCTTTCTACTTTATTACTGGCCCCATCGTAGCATGGGCCCGGGACCTTTTGCCCCTCCTAACCCTCCTCTCAACGCCCTTGCCTTTGTTGACTAAAATGTCCAACAGCTAGGCAAAGGCTATAAGAGGGCCATAACAAAGAGTTTTTGGTCCTTTATTGGCCTAGTAAAAAGAATTTATAAGAAAAGTTTAGAGAATTATGATAAACAACATAATTGGGACTTGCTTTTTCCAACAAGTAAAACGAGCAACCTCAAAGAAAAGGGATTTGCTTAATCTAATAGAGAGTCTAACTTAAGCAGCAATGAATGTGACACCACCATTGTGCCTTCTGCATATTTTAACAAATGCAATAATTTACAGCAAAAAACCAGGTATCAATCATACAGTTTTCCAGTCTTCAAATAGGTGAGACCCTAAGTAAGACAAAAAAATCATACATTAAAAGGAAGTTTTATCATTACCTTCTCCAGGCCCTCCTCCACCTCCCTTTGGTGTCAAAAGCTCTCTCCTCAATTTTGCCAATTTAGCCTTTAACATACCAAGATGGCTACTTGTTGCTTTGTTCTTTTGAGTTTTTGCCATCTAAAAATGGATAGTATTAAGTTGGATTTAAAGATTTTGAGCAATATTTGCAAAATAATTGCAATATAAATAATTAGATTAATTTGTGTCGCTGTATCAAATTATTGCACAATTTTTCAATTTCTTTGATGCTGAGAAATAGACCCCTAGGTTTGGTACCTTGATCCTTAACAGAACTAAGAGAAAGGCAAAAGTCAGATATTGCAGATAGAGTGGCAAAATGATGTAAAAAATTATATATTGTTAGTATTTTAGATCTGATCAAATTAAAACACCACAGTATACCTCTAAATGTGCAAAATCATTTGTATCTGTTGCAAATCAACTGAGACATTGTGGTACAAGTCTTTCCCCATCAAATATCGTAATTTGGTCCTGGTTCTAGCCCAGGCTGGAACAACAATAACCCATCAACAAAACTCAGGTCTTACACTGGTTATATATGTGGTAATTTTGAACAGATTCAACTGCATTTACATGGTTAGAGCTAACTTATGGTGTTCTTTTAGCTTATAGGACCACAATTTTAACTTGTATACTTTGCTTCTCTTGAGTGTGCTATCATTTCTTTATCTGATTTATTGGTATACTGTGATTTATTGGTATACCATTTAGAGGTATACTGTGGTGTTCTAATTCGATCAGATCTAATACCGCATCATTGATATGAAATGAAAACCGCATCATGCAAACAGGGCCCCATTAACTGCACCGTTTTTACTTTTACCTGTCTACGGAGAGGAAAATGTCAGTTTTATTTTTCTAAATTTGTTTGGAGAGTTTTTAAAAATCCATTTGTTTGTACTTAAGCATTGATCCAGTGAGTTTTATGACACTTTTTTGCGGAAAAACCTCTATTTTTGTGGATATCAACTTTTGGTATTTTGTGACACTTTTGTTTATATAATAAAATTTTTAATTCTGTTTGCAAAAAAGCTTTGAAAAAAGAAAATGTATACTCTTGTGCCAAATAGAAAATTTAAAAATGGGTAAAAATTTCCATTTTTGTACTTTCAATAAATGTTTATAAATACAGGGGCATCCTGACATAACAAACTCTAAAGGGAACCAGAAAATATTAGCTCTATTTCTAGCAAGAGAAGGAAGGTTTCCAGTTTAATATTGTTTTTGTAAGATAACAATGAATAATACCATTTTCCGATAGAAGAGTGGACTTTCTGTCAAAGCACATTATTGTTTAGCCTTAATTACACATGTTTTTAACTAATAAAGATGTTTATTGGGAAACTATAACCATCTCCCACCCAAGAATTAAACTCTGCCTTTATCCCTGGCCTTGTTTCATATTCTTATCTAGATTGACAAAACTGTGTTATGATTAATCTGCCTGTCTGTCATTACCCATGGATGTCAAGCATTACCCACAGGGAGTGATTAGCGCTGATTTTTGAAAAACAACAAATCACGTTAATTTAATATAAAAAAATTAAATTAAAGGTGTTTGACATTACCAATGACTACCCTATGTTCTATGTAAAACAATTCTTAACAGAAACAAACCGAATCAGGGCATAAAAAAATTTTGATACAAAATACTATGAAAAAAGTTGTTACATTCTAAATAAAACTATAAAGTAGACACTTTGACTACATTTTGACTAAGTTTTGACATGAGATTCAAAAAGTTAATTTTTTTAAATCTCATGTGATGTGTTATTTTCGGATGATCCTTTACGAACTGTGGACAACTTGATGACATCCTGGCCTAGTCTTTAGAAATTTCCAAATGTCTTGCTCACTTGGCAATTCACGATCAATTTTGCTTGAAAACAGATATACGATATTTACCTCATTTTCGATATCTGCAATCTTTTGAAGAATTGTTGCCATTGTGATATTTTGTCTTTTAACGCTTCTTGAGAGTGTGTGAAAATTGAGAAAGAAAACTTTGTGTGAAATGAAAAGTGATATGCACCATGCGAAAATGTGAAGGCTGTTGCCTCATATCAGACAATACAAGCCATTTTCTAAACGAGGCGGAAATGGCTTGTTTGTGTCGTCGTGGCTTTGGCGGGAAAATTCCAGATTGTTAAAAATAAATAAACGAAGAAACGGAGTAACATGGAAGACATCGTAAGAAAAACTGCCACGCATTTGTTTGAATTCCTAAGGAAGGAAAAAGAAAAGCATGGCAAAGGTCTTTAATATCATAACTGACAATATTTTTAATGTTCCGGGCCACCACTGAATAATATTTTGTCTGGTCTTTGTATTAATTAGAATTTTTTTGTTTTGAGCCTGAATATATGATTCTCTGGTATGATCATCGCAAAATAGGAAACTGCTTAAAATGAGACACAAATTCTTATAAGATGAAACGAGTCTGTATATTTAGCTAAGTGAATGTACAGAATGTCCTGGAAGGAAATGGCGGATTTAGAGGGGGGTGGCAACTAGGGCAGTTGTCCCTCCCTCATCAAACTGAAGCAAGTCTAGCGCCTTTTTAAGAAATTTTGCGCCCTTTTTGAAGAACGAGAAGAAGGTGGAAAAGTTTCTGAGACTTCTAGGTTAATTTGCTTCAAATATTTCCTCAAAGTATACAACAAGATTGTGAAAAATTTCCTTACAAAGTGAATTCGGCGTACACTCATCATCAATTTCTGAAAAATTTTCAGCGCCCCCACTACCAACTGCCCCTCCTTCAAATTTTCTCTGGATCTGCCTCTGCCTGGAGGCATCATAGTGCAGACAAGAAGTAGGACTTAGAAATCGAGTCTGCCTATAGGACTAACTTAGGCCCTAAAGCTTGATGACGGAAAGAGCCTGTTGGGAGTTTCCACCTCAGGGCTGAAAGTCTTTACGTCATTACTAGTGTCTTTAAAATTATTGTTGGTCATCATAAACAAAAATTTCCATTCTCAATACTACCAAAAAGTTTTAACTTTTTGTTCATTTGATATTTTAGTTACTGATGAAGCACTTTCATTGTAAGTATACCTAAACCTCCCTTTTTAATCTACAATTAAGCTTTTTTAATCTACAATAAGTATATTTTTAAAAAGGAAACCATTTTGTGATTGCTTTTTAGACTAAACTGTCTTTTCCCCACAATGCTGGTACATTCACTTGATCTCGTTGACAGAAAATTTATTACCAAATTTCTTACTCCTGCCAAGCGTGAATTTTTCCAGGTAAGCTTTGACTTTATCTTTACCAGGCCCGTAGACACTGAGGGACAAGGGACAATGCCCCTTCAACCAATAATTTGCGAAAATTGTGTTCGAAGATCTTATAAGCGCAGCTTGATCTGACTGTATTTCGTAAGGCAGGTATAGAAAATCGAACAGCTATATTCCTATCCATGCACCCCCCAATCCAGTTTAGCAGTCTACGGGCTTGATCTTTACCGAAGCATTTTCACTCTGTAACCACATTAAAGCAAATTTTCTTGAATTATGAATTTATTTATTTCTTGATTGGAATAATAAGTTCATCGTTGCAATATGGTAAAGCAAGACACTTGGTATCTGGCAGTGATTTGCTATGCCTCACTATAATCCTTTGCTATAATCTACTGCTATGCCTCACTAGAAATCTTGGTACATTTGGCTTTTCTGGGCATCTTGATTTAAATCAGAAATTTTAGGCTGAGAATATATGTAGTGGGGCTTATTACAGCAAAATAAGATTTCTCTAGTTAGAAAAGAAGAAAAACACAATTTTTATTGACTGCTAAGATTGCACCTGCATATTAATGATTGCCTCGTGCCACCATCGTAAAAGAAGTCTACCTGATTAACGTGCTTGTATTTGAAAAAAGAACAATTACCTAGAAATTTTGTACTTTACTTAATGCCATAAAAATGCAAGATACCTTTCAAGTCCACATGTTTCTCGGCAGATTTGTGAAATTTATATACTATGTTTATTGTTCACCTGTTCTTTTGACAAATATTCAGATGAAGCCTGGCATTAAGGTATTATTGGTATTTTTTGCTCTATATTTTAGGTAAAAGGTTCTTCTGGTATACCATACTGCTGTTTTCCATCTTGTTCTTACTGTTCATGTCCTTCTTATCTTTATACAGGTAAACTACAAACATTGTAATCTAAATGTCATTTAACAATAAAATGGGCCAGATAAAGCAATCAATATTTAATATCACATACCAACTGCTCGATGATGTAAAACTTCTTTTCTTCAATGATATAGTCTTTGGTCTCAATGCACTAAAATGACTGGGCATGTGTAAGATATTGTCGAAAATTGCAATACTCTGCAAAATGTAGCAAAGCCAGGTACCTTGGTTTGCATAAAAGCGTCAGGCATTAGTGGTGTTTTCTTGATTCTATATTGAAGTTTTCACCATTTCAAAATAGGATAACTTTACTCTAAGGAATTCACCCTACTCTACAAATATCTCAAATTATAGTTTAATTTTTATAGAGGTAATCTTTTTGCCTCTATCAAACATAACTTTTGAAATTGTTATCTTGATACAGAATATGAATAGTTCAAAATTCAATGTAAATACAAAATGATTATATATATTCATGTAAGTACAGATATAATTTTCCTCTGCAAATCAAATAAAATATTAAATACCTTTCTGTTTATTTTGCAGTTCTGTTAAAAAAGGAAGCAATGTTGGTGTGTATCACTATTCAGTAAAGTTTTTATAAAATGTCCAGTTTGAGCACATAATATACTTCATAACATAAACTTAAAGTCTTTATCATGTTTTGACAGCTTTACAATATTGTTTTTAAGTCATGCTTTCACTGGAAAACACCATTTCATTAATATTTTTAGATCTTCTAAAGATTTTTAATTTTAAACATTAAAATCAAAAGACTTGACATGATCTAGGTTCTGATTTCCTATCTGTTTGTGTTAGATTTTAAATTGCAAAGGTGTTTATTTTATCACTGAATTGATGCATGAAAATTGTAAGATTCAATTTTAATCTTTTATACAGTGCAAGCATCTCCTTGCAATGGAACTAGCAATTGCTTTGGATGATTTCATAACAAGAGAAATCTCTGATGAAGAGTTTGTTGCCTATGTTGCTTATGAAACAGAATCTCCTGTCAAAAAAGAGGAGAAATCACGTAACTAAAGATGCCAGTCCAAAGATGCAGGTTACTTTTCAATATTCAAACAATACATATTTTTCAGTTACAGCATATGATTTATACTCAACTATAAAGTGAAAATCATTTTTTAAACAAATTTATAATGTATTGGTAAAAATGGCTTTACATTGATTGTCACATAGACTTAACAAGTGCACTCATCTTCTGTTCTATATCATCAAAAGAAATAATAAATGTCTTCTTCTTCACATAGCACTGTTGTTGGTAAGAAAATATCTGTATGATTTGTCCTTTTTTGTGCTAACTTCAAATGATTTTGTATATCTTTAAGCCAAAAACCCACTCTGCTAATGTTCTGCAGATGGATGAAACTTTGGAATTCAATGCAAATTACACCCATTGCATAATTCTATTAAACCAAAACATCCACTTAACATAATGGATCTCTTGTTTAGAGATTCCTTTATGATATTCAACATTCAAACTTACTCTTTTGGAATGATAAGAACAAAATAAATAGTTTCAACATTCTTTCAGTCCTTTTATTATCCTTTCACGTATCACAGAACTCTTGGCATGTGATCAGTTCAAAAGAAGCCCAATGCAAAATATGATCCCAACTGAGAATTGTTTTCCTGAGTGGTTTTTTTGTATTAATGGCTGCTGCAACCAAATAAAATGCCTTCAATATATTCAAGAAATGTTCAACCTTATTTATAAATTTTCACTTAATTTTCCTATATGCCTCTGCAGGTCAACCTAATGCCTTTGAGCTAAGCTAAGGTTCTGCCGTTTGTCCAAGGAAGCGTTCATTCCAGATCATTCAGCTTCAGCAGCAGCAATGTCTCTCACAGCTTGAAATGCAGCAATCAATGAACTCAGTTGAATTTTCTCTGATGTTCCAGATGCCAGGCGATATCTGATGACAGAAATAATATTCATGCAGAATTTAAACATTTCTTAGTCAGTTATCAGCTAAATTTTTGTAAAATATTTGCTTATAAATAAACAAATATAAGCAGGTTTTGATTTCTATAATTCTTTAGGGTTGTTAAAATTGCATGAGCAAAGTTAATAGTAGATCACTTACTCAATTTCTGCCATTTTCTTCAGCAATGTAATTCTGATTTGTGGAGGGAAATCAACTATCAAAAACAGAGAAAAATAGATTAGAGGTCAATTTCTTTTATCAGCAGTTTCTAAAAAAGGGATAACCTTTCCATTCATTCATAAATCTATTTTATTTATTTATATAACTATGCATATGAATTATTTGGGAAAAGCATTGCCGTAAGTGCTCACAGCAATGGTGTATGCATATGTGCTAGCACTCTATTTGTGATCACTGGAGTCTCTGGCAAGGACTGATTTTTATACTCATTGTAGTACATATTAATTGAAAAAGCCAGCTGGTATTTATTCAGTAGTATACCTTGACATTCCTGATTGGTGGAGTGATTAAATAAAAATTGATTTTACTAGCCATCAGTTGACTGTATTGATTTTACTAGCTATCAGCTAACAGTCCTGGTTATATGAAATGCGCTGGTGTTAAGGACTATGATGATGTGCAATCCATAAAATTTAGACCTTATAATGTTTATTAAGACCTTGGAGAACCTTTTAATTTAAAAGGTTCTCCAAGGTCTTAATAAACATACAATATATACTCTTGTGAAACTGCTTGAGGGGTGTATCAATCTTTGAAAAAGCGATTTAGATATTTATGAATAAAAGATTTGTCAAGGAGTTTTAGAAGACGTTTCTTGAAAACAATGTACTTTAACAAAAAGTTCTTCAATTGATTATGTCTCCGAAAATACTATCAAGGCAATGCACACAAAATAAATTAAAAAATCAATTCAAAGAGAACTAATAAGAAATTAACAGAAACAAAAAGGAAGAAAGAATAGTCAGTCAAAATGTGCAATATAAAACACGTCTAGGGAGCTTTAGGCTTGTGTGGAGGGGTTTGTGGATGCATGCACCAGCCATCGCACACCTAATATTATCAGGACTGAGCTAACAATTTTGCTAATCAACTTACTTAACAAGGAATGAAATGATTGAATGTACTCTTCTCTGTGCATTGTCACCAGTTCCTATTAAAATTCATCATAATAAACAAATAATATTTACTTCTGTGTACATAGGAATGAACTTCATGCAGCATATCTTGCAGTGCCAAACCTTTCAGATTTTTCATTCGAGTAATATCTATAAAATATCAAGGATGCAAGATCTAATTTTTGTGTAATAGTTTAACCTCATCCTTAATGAATGTGACTGACAGAAATTGAACCTTTACAACTTTATTGCCTTTCTATAGTTTTCCCAACTACCCATTATTTCCAAAATTCCAGGTTTTGTAAGAAAAAATGTTCGAATATACGGGAAGGTCTGGAAAATTAAAAAAATATGCTATGTTAAAAATGGAACTTCAAGGTTGTAGGAAAACTAAAAGAATAACTGCACCTTCTATTTGAACAGGACAAGACTTTTTAAGTAATTAACTTATGAATTTCCAAAACAAAAAATCACACTTTAGATCTAAAAACACAAGATACTAATAGAAAATGAAAAGATACTGTTATACGCTGTGGTAAAGTCTTCATTTAACATCCAGTTGACAATGCTATTAATATCACTTCTCAGAGGCTGCCCTGTTGTTGTGTACACATTATCTTCATTGACAATATCAAAAGCCAGAGATGCACACTATAGAAGAAAACAAATATAGCAAATCAATTACTGTACCTAAGCTATCTAAAGAAATTGACACAGGGGTGGGCAACCTACAGCCCGCAGGCCAGAATCCGGCCCGGGAAAGGGGTTTTTTGTAGCCCGTGAGATGAAAAACTTTATACTTTTTTTGGTTCGCAAAGATAATTCTCTGAGGTGTCATAAACATCTAATGAAACACATCAATTCAAAATTTGCTTATCTGATATCTTCATCAAACCAGGGAATCATGGTAAAATTTGTTCACTATCCGTTGTCACGAATTAATCCGAATCTTTGAGGACAGCAGAATCTTTGAGGTAGTGAAGGACAGTTAACAAATACAGAAACAGAGAATCTTACTGGGTGCCCTCGTTGCAGTTGAGTAGGAACACGATGGTCCCTTTTTTCGTGTCTCAGTTGCTAGTGTGCTGGGGGCCTATATTGGATAGATTTGTGTTTACGTACTATATTTAAGTGAATGGTCTGAGCTACAAGGCCGATGCCCTGCGTCGATTGGTGCATAATTTTGCATTTCTTTTCTAGGATGTTGTCTCCCAAACCTGAATGTCATCCTTTTTAATTTTGATTGGTTTTTTCAGTTTTTCCTTTTGCACTTCCGATTGTAACAGTCTTATCTATCGTTGCAAAATATCTATGTAAACGAGAGGTTTGTAATTGTAGTAATTAGATTTAAATAAAAGTTTTTCATTATTATTATCATCTTATTAAAACAATTGTATCCGTTTTTCTTATTACCTTTGGCCCGTTTAAAAAAGATCTGAAGGATCTGGCCCAGTCGCCAAAAAGGTTGCCCACCCCTGAATTAACACATGGTGCTGCTGGGACCATTTGTTCAGTTTGGTTCACAACACTTAATTGCAGAAGAATTGAAAATTCATGTTTCAGTGTCTCTAGACAATGCTCCAAAAAATTATCTTACCATTTATATCTTTTTACTACTTAAGAATAAGTAGCATACTCTTAGGGGGGCTATTACAGGTTTGCTAGTTCACAGCCTCGAACCTATTTTCGTGTGCGTCCTACAAATTTGACAATGGGTTTTCTGCGGATTGCGGCTTCAGCACAAGATGCGTCTTTCGTCTTTAGTGGCGTAAACTGCGTAAATGTAAAGTGAAAGTAGCACAAAGTAGCATCAAGTACCACACACTGCACCCTCTAATGCTTTGGCAGCTACTAACTAAAATTCTATCATGAATAATGTTTATATTAATCAACAGAACTATTTTTTCCTCCTTTTGTCGGCGCATTAACGTCATTTCTCTCCTTACTAAACAGCGCTAGTGTAGACTTAATGAAACATAAAAGCAGTTTATCAGATATCTAGCAGTGGCCGTTAGTGAGATCAAACCATTCGGCAACTTGCCGGAAGTCTAATTATCTCTCTCAAAACATCATACGTTAATCGATTTTAGTGGCAAGAGCTGATACTCTACATACCGTGAGCTGTTTCTCGAAAAAGAATATCTAGACTTAAAGAATGTTGAATATTATTTGAAGTTGTAAGCAAGGACCGAGACACCAGCCCCCCCCCCCCTCCCAAAAAAAAGAAAAAACTCAAGTTGCATAAGTAAAATACTTTTATTTTGTGTTGTGTCGCTGATTTATCAGGGCTGGATCCCCAAACAGAAAGTTGTATGTCGGTCTTTGGTTGGAAATCTTTCATAAGAAACGCCTTTTGCCCTGATTAAACAAATTGGTATGTGAAAAATTGCTACGCTGCTTTTTGAAAGTACAATTTATAAGGGCAAGAGGCTCTATATACAGAATCGACAAAGGACAATTTGAACAGCGCTTCTTTTCCCAAGCTTTTCAAATACACGTCCTTTTCAGAAGGTTGTACCATTTTTTCAACCTAAGAAAACTTCAATCTCCGCACTTCCAGTTTGCTGAGTTTCCACCTTTCAGGCCAAAGTCATACAACTTGAGACTCTCGCGCACATATGCTCAAAATTTGGCCAGAACTGCACGCTTTTCAAACACATACTTTCATAATATATTATTTGAATGGAACACCCTTAATGAAGAACTGAGAACTTCTTCGACGCTCTCTGAGTTTAAGAGTTTGCTAATTGCGCGTGTAAGACCAGAAGGAAATCCTATTTATGGCATTGGTAACTTGCAGGGAATTCGATTATTAACGAAATGTCGTCTCGAATTTAGCTCCTTTAATGAACACAAATTTCGGCATAACTTTGATTGTCTCAACCCGCTTTGTAAATGTGGTATGGCTAAAGAAGATAACGAGCACTTCTGCCTACACTGCCCAATTTTTCATCAGTTGCATCAGGATCTCCTTGGTCAGCTCTCTCTAATATTGAACAGAGATGTACTACAGAGATGTAGAGATCCCAAAGAACTATGTCATCTAATGTTGTATGGAAGCCCTTTCTTTTCAATGATAGATAATAGAATGATAATAGAAGCAACCATCCAATATACTGAGAACTCCAAACATTTTAAATAAAAGGGGGGTGTTTGTGGGGTGGTTTGATTGATTGTCTGTCTGACCTGGATCCGGTCGGATGGGCGGCTGATCGTCCATTTTATCAAATATCCTCAATTCTGCTCAGCGATCAGGCTATTTGTTTGTTTTCTTTCATTGTATTTGTAATATTTCTTTCGAGTTTAATTCCCTAGTAAATTTTAAGTGTCATTCATTGTGGGAACTCGCTGACTACGTGTCCTTTCCTGCAATGAGTGGCACAGTAGCTGCATCATTTGTTATGTGTAGTTATGTTTTCATTTGATATGAAAAATAATTTACGTCTTAAAATCTAAACAAAAGATGTGTATTTCATGACAGAAAAGCGTATACTTTTAATTCCAATGTCATTAAAATATTGTCGCCAGTAAAATATAGTCTCCTGTTGTCTTCATATACACCTAAACAAGTTTACAAATTAGGCAGCAGCGCCTTAAGCAACATTTTATTCAAATGTCATTATAATATATTGTTTTAGATATGAAATTTTTGATGGTAATATATTTGCTGTAAACTTTTAAAAACTTTACACTCTTTTGTACATGCTTTTATAGGGTTTTGGCCGCTTTTCTTTTCACGTTAATCAGGAGACACATTAATAACAAAAGAAACATTAAAGTGCTTAATCCTGCATCAAAATTCTAGTTTTTATTATCAACATTATTATTACTTTTATTATATTGGAAACATTGCATACATATGTGCCAAACCTGTAATATGTTGAGAGACTTCCTCATATCACCACTGGCGAGTCTTATGATGCTGCTCAATCCATCTGGAGTAACATTAACACTAAAGAGAAAGGATAGATTACAAAGAACTATCGCTTAACATTACAAAAATGATATGCAAAATCGCGAAGCAAGTATATAGCTAAGCGTACATAACGTCCAGCACGATTACAAAATTACTTGTCATGGCACAATTTTTATGGGAATCCCTTCCACAAGATTATACAACACAATAATGGCTTCGAAAAAAGCAAATATTCTAAGACCCCGTTTACACTGTCCCGGGACAATTTTGTACCGTTACGGTTCGCAAGTGTTTACACTGTCGCGGTTCCAAATTGTTTCGTTTAGCCGTTCCGTTTACACTGTACCGGTACAGTGTAATGGCTTCAAAATTTACTGGCAGAACATTGTTGTATTTAGTCAACCAAGGCTTTTATTTTGCCGCCGAAGTCAACAATCGAATTTTTATTGAGAGTTAAAATGGAGTGGAAGGCCGATAAAAACTTTACTTGGACGAATGACAAGGTGGCTTTAATTTTCAGTGTTATTTTAGACTACAAAACTGCAAAGTCTGACCAAGGCTTGGACTGGGAAACACTACAAGCCTTTTCTGTGGTCGTCTTTTCTTCAGAATTTCCTTTTCTTCAGAATTTGACAACGTAGGTACCCCACAATCAAAGCCTCGATTACCTGAAACAGCCATACAAAAGACCTCTTTGTGAATCCGTGACAAAATCGTCTCGGAAAGGTGTTTACACTGTCCCGTTCAAAAACGGAACCGTGACGGTACAAAATTTGTTCGCTTTCAAAGCAGGGTCCAAACTGTTCCGGATAGCAGAGCAAAATCGTCACGGTTCCACAGTGCTAGTGTAAACGGAAGGGCGAACCGCGACAGTTTTGTCACGGTTCCAAACTTGCACGGGACAGTGTAAACGGGGTCTGAGATATGCTAAAGCTTTTTGTCTGATACTGTTGTAGAAATGTAGAAGTGTTCCATGAAAAATTTCTAAAGGAAAAGCCGTGGAAATATAAGGGTGTCACGGAAATGTAGAATTGTGCCATGAATACAGAATTATATTATGGAAAAATAAAATAATTGCATCGCAGCCGTTGTGGGCCACCGTACTTTTGGGATGGGTGTAGTAAGTTCTAAATTTGATGTTTTGAGCATGTCGGCCTAAGGCTGGGTGTCATTTCAACTACAATTCATAGATTATAATATCTTGGAAACAATTTAGTTCGCTAAATCAGGCTAACTTTGTGAGAGTGGAGATATCACAGTGTAATGCTATCTCGGTGTAATTTAGTGTGATGAGAAAGATATGGTAAGATTTTACATCTGTTATCATAAAATGCTTCCGTTAATTCGGATGAAAACAGTAATAATACTAAACACTAATGCTACGATACGATTCATATTTTAACATGCGGACAATCAAAGCCAGTGCCAACGATCTTGCGGAAAAAGAATTTTAATTACTCTGTATGAGGAATGCCATACTTTCCATGTTCTTCTTACATTTATGTGAAACTCCTATTGCACTCTATTGCATTCTTATCAATATTATATTCGAAATTTTCAAAGTGCCCATTTTCATTGCTTCGACATTTAAAGATTTTGTAAGGACATCTGTACCCATCATTCCATTAGCACCGCCTCTTCCGGTCTATAAATATGTTATTACTAGAGTCAGCTATCGGGTTTTGAAGGCAAGCAAAATCCACGCTAAAGGTGGCGACCTTTAAGGAACTGGTGTACCAACTAGAAAGACAAATTTCACCTCGCATTACTAACCCTTCCTTTAGCTATATTTGGAAAACAAAAAATTGCACCTTGCCTTCTACCTTTATCAATGAATTGTTTGAGGGCTTTCGACAAGGTCCAATTCTAAACACTAAAGCATGTATAACTCTGCTAATACGGTATCTAACACTTTATGAAAGATGTAACCTATCCATTATCCACTCTAAAGATTTTATGACTTTTATAACAAATCCATTAAATCCATTAAAAAAATCCATTCTTGATCAAGTTAAGTAAAAAGAGAGTAACGAAGAAGAGAAGATCACATTTTCTTATCTTTATGCAATATATCCATATCTATATGCGTCATCGCCAATACCTTTACAGGTCAGCCAAAAAGCCAGATCGTATCGTTATTGCTATTTCTCACAGTATAATCAGGTTCATATGCACTTTCATTTCTCTAAAGCAATCGCCTTATCATTATAAACAATGTTTTCTTGTCAGCAGAGAATACAGAATATATCTTTCATGTTCATCAGCAACAGTGACAATATATGTAGAATTCCCTTTTTTAATTTTTAAAACTAAGTTTTATAACTAAGTTGAACTATAACATTCATTCTTTAAATGTTATTACATTTAAAGAGTAATTTTCAGAAAATGCCCACATATGAATCAAAATGGCAGATTCTTCGTTTGGCAGAATATAATTTTGAGTAGGTCAATAAACGCTTCAAGGAAATTCCTGCTCAAACTTGTGAAACCCGACAATAATAAACTTGCAGATGCATATTCTTGGCCAATGCTCTTACATGGATGTGAATGTTTGAAAAGAAACAATGAAGCAACAGTGAGGTAGTTTTTTCGAACAATATTTAGGATCTTAGGACGCTCCATAAATGTAAGATCGGCATTTTGGGTGTTATATTTAGAAAAAGTGGTTTGGAAATGATCAGCTTTACAGGAAAAATCAACAGAATCACACATATCCCATGAAAGGAACCTATACTTAATACCGAAAAAAGGTGTATAAGACCTACATTTTTCGAATCATTATTGACTTTATTTGACTGTGCTTTTTTATATGGTAACACTATCTGTCCCATCATTTTTTTTAAGGCGAAGTGTCATTTCATAAACAAAATATCATTTTATTTGGAGCATCTGTTCTCTTAATTCGAATAATCGCAATTTTACCAGAAATTTCGTAAAAACTTCAAAATTCTTCTGCTGTAATAGAAAAATATCTGACAAAAGCTTTTTAATCCCAAATGGAGGGGTTGTAGCTACCCTGCATTCTCTTAATTGGAGGATACATCACCGTAATCGTTGTGAATGTTGTGAATAAAATGGACGAAGAACAAGAATTTTATGGATTTTAAAGCCTGTAAACATTAATGATGATTTTGATTATTTCAATATGTTAAACTTTCTACTTGAACGTAATATTTGAAACATTGCAATTTGGACGAAATTTTCTACGCAGACTTAGCGTCTGTGGTATTCTCGAATTTATTCTTCCACTGAAATAAACATGCTTGACAAGAACTGAGAAATGGGGATGCGTCTTACACACGGCAAGACACAGTGAAAACAAGTTTTTCAGAATTCAAACATGGAATTAAGGGTGCGTCTTATGCAATGATGTGTCTTATACACAGAAAAATACGGTAATTAAATTAAACTGCAAGCCCTTTTATCCCGATATAGTTAGTGCCTATGTTGCCAAGCTATGTGTCAATTCTAAAGTTCCAAAGAAAGAGGAAACTAATATCAATATTAGTACTTTTGATAGTAGTTAAAGATTTATAATAAAATTGTTATAAAAGAACATACTTTTCTGCTTTGATAACATGATCTAGACGTAACTGCATTTGCTCTGTTTCAAGTGGTCCAAATCTAAAACGTGTACATCTAGACTGTAGTGCTGGAATGATACCCGTAAGAAAATTGCAAATCAAACAGAATCGTGTGTTTTCTGTATATTTTTCCATAACTAAAATGAAAGAAAAAATTGTATATCATGTGAAGAGTAAGAATAAACAAAATATTAATGAAGTGTACACAATACAAGTATGATAATGCCTATTTATTTGGTGCCCAGTCCCCCCCAAGTGAAGAACAATAAGGGACAAAAAGATGTGAAGGTTTTCAATGATTATTGTAGTTTTTATGTTTCATATGAAAGTGTTGCTTTATTATCGATATGATCTCTTTCTTTGATCCTTAGTCAACCTAGTGCTGGATCTGACACTTTACAGTTTGTAGCCCCTGAGTTCAATTAATAGAGCCAATACAAAGCAATGCTGTGCCTTGCACATAGCAATCTATGATCTTGAAAATATGGTGTCTTGGATTAACCACCACAACCCCCCCCCCCTCCCCAAAAAAATGACCAGTAAATTTTGACATCTCTGCTAAGAGGCTCCAAACTGACTGGAAAAGAAGTAGATCTGGGGTCACCAGGCAATCAAATTTTCATGGGGGCCTATTCGCTAGGTTCATGTACATTTGTTAGAAAACTTTAGCATAAACATATAGGAAACAGAAAAGAGTAGGCTCAAGCCTATGTTTTGCAAAATTTTTGTCAAAATTTTCTTATAAATGTGTGACAAATTCCATAGTAGAAGGTTCAAAGGGTCTAAAAATGCTATTATGATCACAAACTTGAGTTAACAGAATCACTTGGCCATTGTCAACAAAGCAACATGTATTACCTCTTCTTAGCGCATTTTGTGCATCATTGGTCATTGCATCAGCTTCATCAAGAATCACAAGTTTGAACTTGGATCTTAAATTCAAAGTCAGTTGTCAAAATAGATATCATAATAAGGTCAATTTGATATCAAACATTAATGTCAGCAAAATTAGTTTTGATCCCATTTAATAATACCTCACTATTGTAAAAAACAACAAAAACATATTGCTGTATTTCGGTGTACCAAATTTTGAAGTATGTACAATTTACCTATGAAAAAATTGTTTCATTGCAAAATAGGGAATAAGTCAAAGTTACATACAATTTAAAAGCTACCATTTGGGTTTTCAATAATACAGCCATTACACAGAAAAGCGACCAACTACAGTGGTAGCACCCTCTTTTCACTCCATGGCAACTCTGTTGCAAAATCAATAGAGCCCAACACTGTTTTAAATGATTATAATGGTTGAAAATTTGAGACAAACATGTATAGGGGGAAGAATTAATTCTGGTTTCTGGACTTTAACTGCACTATGATATTTATTTCTTTCCTCGACTGTTGAACTCATTCTCAACAATAATAAAGTTTCAATAATGATACGCACTTGAAAATTGTTCTTGTGCTTGCAAATGTAAGAATTTGCTCTCTCACGATCCCAATGCCTCTATCATCAGATGCATTCAACTACAGGACACAACAGAAATCAACTTTAAAAAGGAAATGAACTAACTGAATAAACCTAAACTTAAAAGACAAATATCATAAGAACTATCAGTTAGATTGTCTTTCTATCTGAAGAATTTAAGAAATTTTGAACTTTATTGTCAAAGCAAAATGTAGCTACCTCCAAAACCATTGAGCTAAATTCTTTTTTGCTATAAATCTGTTTAGCAACAGCAAGGATGGTTGATGTTTTTCCAGTTCCAGCAGGGCCATAGAACAATAAATGAGGCAGCTTGTCTTCTTTTATAAACCTCTGAACTATACAAAAATAATATAATATTTTAAACAGAACGATAGCTCGAGGAAAGCTTCAAACACATAAAAGATAAAAATTTTCAAAAAGCGTAACCGAAAATATGTAAGTATCTAACTTTTCTTTTTGTAGTATTGCATTTTGCCAAAAACTTTTTCACCATACGCTGATGATATCCTTCTTGTTAAAATTACATGATACAAAACAAAGCAAGCTAACAAACATAAAGACATTGCTACTAACTTGTGTTAACAATATCTTTATGTGAAATCAAATCTTCAAGTGAGCTTGGTCTATATTTTTCCACCCTGAAAAATAACAAACATTCTAAATTTACATTTAATCAGAATTTTCAAAAACATTATTAAGGCTTGCAATCAACAAGAGCACATTTTGTTCTAGACCAATCAACGGGTTTGTTTACAAAATTACATTAGCCAATCACCGGCCTCCATTTCGAGCTTGATTTTTGAATGTTTCAAACCAAAACACAGTTGCTGTGGAGAAAAACCTACCCACATACTTTTGCCCGGGAAAAAAATTTACGTTCTTTAACCTAGAAGATTTTTCAAACTTAGTTTCTAGAGTATTTGTTTCGTACAAATCTCGGAGCCCTAAGCAGAAACACAAACAGTGTCTAAAATATCTGCACTGAAACATCACCTATTTCCCACCAGAGACCTACCTCCAAAAATGACCAGCCCCTAATTTACTTTATACTTAGGTTTCGTTAATTAAACAAGGAAACATTCTAAGATTTAAGTTACCTGATAGTTTGCGCAAGCAAATCACCCAGCTATCACCTGGGAATAATGTATTTTCTTAAAAAAACTAGGCTTTATAATTGCCTATTCCCTCCTCTACACTACCGCACGGGATGCCTAGGCCCTTTCTGAACATTCCTCCTGAGCATCACAGTCAATGAAACTCAAACCACTTTTGTGAAGCCATTTGCCATCAGTCTATAGTTTGAAGCCAAAAATGCCAAAATATTGGCAATACTTTCAATTCAATTTTTGAGAGATATCATCTTTTTAAAAAGTAACAAAGACCCACTTTTCCTGGACAGTCTCAAAGCCTTGAAACCTTACTGATACCTGCTAAAAATTTTTTAGAACAAGGCATGATAACTTTAGAAATATCTTTGCTTAATCACATTTAGTTGTTTGAGAACCAATATGATCAAATGCCTTGTTCGTGGTCACATGCTGTGCCATCGAAGGCAGAGCCAGAGAAGGCAGTGTGCCAAGGAGGGAAATGGCAAAAATGTCTCCCATGAAATATTTGTTAAACCAAAAGCAACTTATAGCAATGTAGTTTATGATAGGTTCTATCTAAATCTTGCATGAATCTGCCAGTAATGTCAAAATGTTGCAGTTATTATGAATCTCGTGATCTGTGCAAACGAAGGCCATGGAAGTTGTCATGGAGACTAATATTCTGACCTGTTCTCCAGATCCATACCAACATACACAAAATTGGTAAATAAGAGCAGGGCCATAATCATGGCCATGCCAGCCAGTTGTTGGGGTTTTATTGGAAGGAAGGGTGAAATGCATAGGTTGTGATGGGGACAGGTTTATGAGCCAAGATTCTATTATCTTTAAACTTTAAGAGGGGGCCCTAGACAGGTTCTGGGGTGGGCTGAAAATTTTACATGTATATATAAAATTTACTATCTACCTTAGGTATAATGAAGTCTATTGAATTTATTTGAAATAAACATTTAAATTAGCTTTTTAAATCAAAACATCACTTTTGATATTGATATGTCAGCCTGCAGAGTGTGGCATTTGCACACACAAGATTTTTTGAGAGGCTTGTCTAATGCATACAAAAACATAGGGCCAACACAAAAACATGGGGAAATTTTAAGGACCAACCATTTTTGAAATGTTGCTTTCCTATCTTGGTTTAAACAACATTTTCTTTGAAATTTTGAAATGCTGATGAATTGGAATTTTAGTATTCATAAAACAACTTCAACTTGTGTTGGTAAGCATCAGAACTATCTGATTGTCATAGGTTGAAAAAGTTGCTGTCTATAACTAAATTAGAGAACATGTACCACTATTGCTATGTGCATTTTGTGAGCAGATTGAGTTTCTCTAGATGAAACTCTCCTCCTGTTTTGAAAAGCTCTATGATGCAAATGCTTTGAAGGTAATATGAGGCACAGCTTTCCCGATTGCTCAATGAAATCTCAAAGCTTTGTTAAGTTAGAAGAAGGGGGTTCTGGGGGTACAACCCCAGGAAAATTCTTAAAAGCCACACCCTATAGACTTTTAAAGGCCACCACAGAATGGCCCTGGAGTCATCTCAGTATTTTGATTCGATATTTTGAAATGACCTATGCTTGCCATAAATGATGCCCATAATTAAAAATCTACTGACCAGCATATTCCAATTCTCTGAGAAACTACTGTCTTAGGTTTACTCTGAATTTCCAAAATGAGGGCTGGTAAGAAGAGGCCTTGCTGGTTGCTAACAAAGGGCATAAAAATGTCTGAATCAAAGAACGTAAGATTATTCAGGAAACTACAGTGTCTGACTTGTGCTCAAGCATGATTATAGGGTCAAGAATTTACTCTGTAGATTTCATTCTGTGGACTGAATTATGTTAAATTCAACTGACTGAATTATGTTCAATCCCACACCTCCACCTATATGTTTGACTAAGTACAAGGGAGGGGGTAAATATAATTGAAATTTGTCATACAAATTATATGATTGACCCCATGCTGAAATAAAATCTGCAGTCAAAATTTTGTTGAATGCTTGAAAGCGCTTTTGCAGGAATAATTGCTTTGCACGCATTGTGAGCCAAATTAACTGCCATGCTCTGCAGACTGGTTGATATGCAAAGCACAATTATGATTATCATTACGGGATTAAGCAAAAAACATTTTTGTTTTTTGTTCTTGACAGAGTAAATTGATAACATACCATGGGAGATGGCGATCGATTTGGTCGCTTGCAGTAGGCATTTTTCACTATTTGAATTTTAATCTCCTTTCAACCTTCCTGTGTGTGTTGTGGAATTGGCGCCAACCAAGTCTCGTCTTGGGACTGAGATTTTCACGTAAGAAGGTCACTGCGAGGTTGTAAAGTACTTGTCTTGTGGATATGGGCGACAAAGATGTTTGTAGAGGCTCAAGCTGTTAACAATAATTTACTTGCAACTTCGGCGTGGTTCTTTATAATTAGAACGTTGTTACTCGCAGCAAAACTGCAGTTTTCGTAAGTTGTCTTTTGAACTTATTATTTGAACTTTAATTATATGCCTTTTTGTCCAGTTGTGATTGATAAAATTGATCTGAATTGTTACACTTTTGGGTAGGCTATACAAGCAGAAATTTCTAAAGAAAACAGACCATGTATATTTTAAAATGCTTTACCAAGACCAAATAATTTACACAGTGAATGTAAAATTATCTTGCAGTCTTCTTAATTTAAATAATTGTCGCAGTATATGATATACTCAGGGACGTTGTGGTTAGTAACTTCTAGGGGGGGGGGGGCACATCTTGCAAATTTCTAGAAGCTGGTGGGCATCTACATTAGTTCCATACCAAAGTTGACAAAACAGCATATTACTAGCAAATTGCACTTTTTAATGTGTTTCTGTTTGGCTCTATTCACAGAAAGGCATTCTGTAAACAGTAAAAGATGGACTGGATAATATCTTGGTTGGATAGCTGGGCTGAAAATTCAAGCTTAAGAAACATCATCAAAATAATTTTGAGAAAACTTTCTGGCAAATGTGAATTGCAAAGAATATGTGAAAGTGCACCTGCAACTCCAGCTCAAATGAAAAAAATAGAGAATTCCCTGTATCATTCCAAATACCCAGAGATAAGAAGAATCATTGTATCTGATGACATGAAGGTCAAGTCTGCATTTGAAATTATTGTAAGGACAAAGCGTATAACGCTAGATGATCATCCAAATTTAATAAAAACAATGCCGATTTTCCTTGCCAAGATTTTGAGCTACAATAAACTGACAACAAAAGTTGATGAGATCAGATCTGAGCCTTTCAATGAGGAAAATGAAGTTCATGAAGAATTACTTTTGCAGCTTTGGGAAGCACTTAAGCCTAATGAGAAATTGGATAACAGATATTCAAAACAGTGGGGAGAAATTGGATTTCAGGGGAAGAATCCAGCTACAGATTTTAGAGGAATGGGAGTGCTTAGCTTGAAAAACCTCATATATTTCATTGAAAGTAAGACAGATGAAGCAAAAAGACTTTTTAGCTTATCACAGCATCCTAGATTTGGTTATCCTTTTGCTGTAGCTGGTATAAATTTGACTGGTGTTGCCTTTGATTTGCTGAGATCTGGGGAGCTTAAGGCATATTTTTATGCAGCTGCTGCCACAAAGTTTACGTTGGAAGATTTCCAGAGGTTATTTGTCCAAATGTTTTGTGCATTCAGTGACTTTTATATTTCATCTGAACCAGAAAATGTCATGGAATTTAATCAGCAGCTAAATAATTATAAGAAAATAATATCACAGAGACTCTGCAAAGGGGACACAAACTTGTTGGCAGATGGAACATTTTTGCAAGTATAACATTGAAAAAGATCAGCCTTTTAAATAAAATATCAATATATTCATGCTATGTAACCTAGACAACTGTATGGCATCAATTCCACTTGCCAGTCTTTTAGGTTTAATTTACAGATATGTTTACTTGTTTCATGTGTCTTTTGTTGGTCTTCACTTTGAAAATGCATATCTATTAACAGTCAAAGTATCCTTTAGATTGACAAGTCTGAATTTCTGGCTCCTCAAATACTCTAGCTCCACTCAATTATTAGCACAAATGTAATGTCAGTCACAAAACATATTAATACTGATGTTATCCACTCTAACCAGACCTCTGGAACCGAAGTTCTCAAGTAAGAAAAGGGCTAATGATAAAACCACCTTGCATTAGAACATTGTTTATGCATTGAAAATTTCAGATTTAGAATTAATATACCAAGTTTAAAGACCTAAAGATCAAATCACAATTGAAAAAACATGTATTTTTTGTTGCTTTCAAAATATGATGCAAATTTCATACTAACAGCATTGCATCAGCAAATTTTTTAAGCAATGCTTGCAAAACTAAAACTGAACTAAAATTTTAGTTTTCTATGCAGAGCCTCTGCAGGATCTAATAAATAAATAATAAATGAATTCTGAGACTCTTGGCACAATGATTTGATCAATTTGTGAGGATATATTATTAATTAAACTTGCTGGTAATAAAATAGGATTTGAAATATGACAACCACATGTTTGTTAATTTAAATGTATGCTTTCTTTTATGAAATGAACTTCTTAGAAAAATATAAAAATGGTATATCATACATATTTTTGATTTACCTGTGCATCTTTAGATCAAAGCAACTAAACAAAACATGAGACATTTCAAAATCATGTCATTAGATTTGTGATTGGCCATAAGATGCAAGACTTATGAGGAAAGAAACTCTGCTTTGCAAAACTGGTTCTCCTTTGAGGAGGCATCATCCTCTAATGGACATAATTTTCATGTTCTGGCCTTTTTAAGAAAGTCAGACTGCAAAGTTTCCACAATATTATAATTTAGGGTTTCTGTATAAGAATTTCAAAAATTATTGTGACTTTCTACTCTTTAAAAGGTTTGTGGATCATAACAAAGGTTAAGGATACCACAAGGCAGCAAAACTCAAAAGCATATGTAAAAATAAATACAAATTTCTCAAAACTCAAATGCAAACCTTTCAAGTTTTACACATTTTGCTATTCTCATACTTGCTTGTATCAAATTAGAATTCTCATACATTCTGTTAGAAAGTTTATTCAAATTTTGGCTTTTTCAAATTCTCAGTTTTTTCAAGATCCTGGCAATTATTCCTCTTTCCTAACAAGGCTTACCTACAGAATAGCAAATGACTAGAAAACAGCAAATCAGCACAGGTTGAGTGATGCTGTATATATCCTAGAGCTGAGTTCTGTACAATTGTTTTGAGCCTAGTAGAATTGCAGTTTAGCTCCATTGAGACTTTGAGACCAAATTTATTTTCTGCAAATATACTGGAGAAGGATAACTCCACCCCCATCCCCACCCCCTCTCTTAGACAGTGTGAAAGAAAAATTTGAACCATTTAATAATGACTGATATCTGTAGAGTGTGTTTTCTTCAACTTAGCCTTTCTGAAAAACTACCAGAAGATGGCATGGAACAGGAAAACAGTTTACGGGGGCACTGTGCCGCCAGCACTTGCTTCTGTCCATGTGGCATTCAAAGATCAATTCTGGATCTGCCCCTTGGCCTTGAGATCCCATAGCAGTCCCAAAAAATTTTTCTTACCTTTTCATAAAATTCAATTGACAAATTAATTTTACAGGTCTGCAAATCATTACATTTTCTGAGAAACCAGGTTACTTTTCAATGCCAAGATAATTGGTAATCATGATAAATAGACATGTATTGAATTAATTAGGATTAAAAATATTCTTTTCCTGAAATAAAAAAGTTCAAGCAAACACAATTTGCTAAATAAATAAAGACCAAACTATTTAATTCAACTAAACTGCATTGATTTGTTATAAAATGTTGATGGTGTTAAATATATGGATCCATTTGTAGGCGCCACTGTTGATATGTACTGTGCTGTTTTGGCCCACTCTGGGAAAGTCTTGAATTTGAAATAAAAACTTCCATACAGGTTGCTAAACATAAGAAGCACTGCTAAACATATAATATCCATCCCAATGCCAGCTTTCACCTACAATTAATAATACTAAATTTAAAAGCTTGTGATTTCTTGGACTTTGAATACAACATAAAGTCCACTCTACTTATAGTTCCATTTAAAAACACACAGCTGGCTACAGTCATGTGAATTTATGTCCAAATATGAAAAAGTATTCAATTTAGTCCACTTACACTACAGTCACATATAAGAAAATTCATTTAGGCACTATTACATAACAAGGTACGTTTGCAGTGCTTAGAGCCTTTCAATTTTATGAAAACGGGCATATTCTTGGCAGGAAAGTCGAAGAAATTGGTAGTAATTGTCGACTGGGGGATAAATAAAACAGCAGGTCCCTTCCAACATTAGAAACACAACTCTCCTTCAAAGAGAACAGCCTACTCTGTCTTGTAGATTAAAAACGACAACTAAAACATGCAATTCTACTATCAAGGGGCATTTACTGGAAAACCCAGATTGTGTGAGAAATTATAATGGTAACATGATGTTTCAAATTACTGGTAAAGCCTGATCGTGGTTCCATATAGAAATTTTGGAATCCATCTCCATAAACATGAAAAAGCCGGTAAGGTCTAGGCAGAAGGAGCTTGTTTTCACCTTAAGGATTTGTTGATAACATTTTCCATAGGCAAGTGGCACTGATTGGGCAAGCTCAACAGTCATGTGATCACACTTCTGGTTGGCCTATTTCTATCCAAAACTGGGTATTTATATTTCTTACCATAGAGTTTTCATTCTATGTTCTGGCGTACTATACTCTGAAGAGTGTCAGACAAAAAGCTTGTTTCAAAATGTGTTTTTCAAACACATTATTAAATTCTGTTCATCAAAAAGATTGTTTGGTAAGAGAATTGTTATGTTTGCGTTGTGTAAGCTTTACATGAAACTAAAGAGACTGTTCTTTAATTTCCTTTGATTCACAGCTCACCTACGAAAATACAAACAGCCAGGCCTGCTATGTCACAACTCTTTTTCAAGTTTCTAAAAAGTGCCTAGATTCCCTCACTACCCCCCTTCTTATTGAAACTAACTAAAACTTTGGGGAATGTTTACTTGGTAAAGCAGAATCCTTACTTGGCATTTTTGTTAAAATTCCAAAATATCAAGTGATATTAAGGGTGTCCAATATTGTAGCTAGAGACTTTTTTGCTGATTATTAAGCAATCAGATAAATGCCATTGAGTGTGGGCTTTGGCCACAAATGGAAATTGGTCGCATCTGGAGAATGGAAAAACACCTACAAGAGACCAAAAGATACCCTGTCCCCTCACTGAAATTACAATAATCGTGCATCAAGTTTAATAGTATAAAATAATAGAACTTTTAAAAAAAAATTACCATGTCCCACATCTTCAATCTTCCTGTTGAGTAAACAATAGCATTTGGGGGAGTTGAAACAGGAAACATGAAAGCAAATGAACAAGATATTGTTGCAGGGATCATCAGATACCATGGATGGATATGTGTACTTACAGCCTGTGAAACAGAAAGATGTATGTCAACTGAAGGAAGAAAAGAAAGTTGAATCCTTTTGAGAGGATCCATCACTAAAACAGGGGTGGACAACTTTTTACGAAAGTGAGCCAGATTCTTGAAATATTCTTCAAGCATGCCAAAGGTGTTAAGAAAAACAAAGAAAATAATTTTCAATCGAAAATTTTCCAATTCATTCTCCTTGAATTATGATTACAAATCTTACTATCACAAAGGTGATTCCCATTGACTAACCTGGGTTTACAAAGAAAAAGACTATTGCAAGCACAAAAAAGGAATTTAAAAAAATTTTTTTTTTCATTGTCTGTTTGGAAGTTGTCAGTAGCAGAATTATTTCTATGGCAGAAAATGTAATAGGTAAGTGTGGTTATGTTTGATAATTTAGAGATCATGGAACAGGCATATCAGCGAATTCACAAGAATTTATCTTACCAGAGAAGCCAAAACTGGCAAAAATATTGTTGCAGTGCCTGTATTTGAAAGTATTTCTGTAAAACCAGTCACTGCAAAACACACAATGGAAACAATAGCATAGTCTGGAACTCCTTTGAGACTTCTTAAATTTTCACTTATCAACTCGGAAAGTCCAGAGGCCTGCAAAAAAGGTGGCAAAATTATTTCTTTGGGCTTAACAAATGACACATCTGAAATCATTTATACTGACCTCAGATACACCTAAAATGTATTTTTGCTTTAGAAAAAATTACCTACCAATGCCACAAATGATAGCTTTTAGGCTGTGTGAAATAAACAATGGAGCTGAAAATAATTAGCTCAAAAGTAATAAAAGAGAAAAGTATTGTAAAATTTCAGCTGTTGATACTGATTGATTCTGTTCTAATTTCTATTTTCATTCAACTTTTTCTCACCTTTTACTGCCATGAGAATGGGCAGGGTCTATGTTAAAACTTAATATTTTATTTTTCTTTATAGATCTTTATAGAACTTGAAAAAGATGTGAAGATGAAATCGATTTCAAACTCTTCTGGAGGCTCTTTGTGATTGCTTATGTTTTCACAGAGATTATTCCCCTTGGACTCAATCTTTCAGATGATAAAATCCTTGTAAGCAACTCTGCTACAGTACACTATGCCTCCTCCAGCTAAGTGAGATGAAAAGAAGAATGTTTGCATTTTCAAAAAGTGTTTTTGCAGGTGAAAAATTGAAAGGCTCTCTGCTAAGTTTAATGCTGGGAGGGCCGTGATTTTATCTTGTTTATTTTTGGAAGTCCCACTTAACAAAAAGAGTTTTATTAAGCATTTTCAAGAACATTTCCTGTTATAAGACAGTCTAATATTATTGGTTCACCTCCTTAAGCAAAACTTGGAATGTACACCCCTTGGAAACCAGCTTCCACAGGGGGGTTGAATTTCAGGCCTTTCCCGGAGCCGCGGGCTATAGCCCGCACCCACGCAAACCCCACGCAAAAAAGTTTTACGAGGGCTTTTTTCCACCTACGCAGTTGTTTATAACAACGCTCTCATTGAATCTGCTTCGTCTCACTCTCTAATGTTTTAACTACCTACCGCTATTTATCAAAGTATTCATAAATAGCATCGTGTCAAAGAGATATATGGTTTGTATTAATATCGTTATAGAAAGGAAATTTATGTTTTTTTTTGACATCAAATGTTAACAAACTATAGTATTACCTGTTACAACTAGCAATGGAATAGGAAATGGCTGTGCAGGAAAGGAACAACAGATAGCGTAAAATAGCAAGAATGAGAATTGTTACACAACACTGTCAAGTACAAAATTACGAATACACTCATTTTTTAAAAGAAACACGCTATAAGAAACGACAGCTGGGCAATGGGAAGAAATTTAAAAAGTTTCAGAAAAAATTCGTTTTTGCTCTTTGACTCTTCAACAAGTAAGAGATAAGCGGGTGGGATTTGTCAAAAACATAGAACCAATCATACATCCTTTTTGAACTCTCTCGTTACTTTCGATGGCGCATTTCTGCTGCCCTGTATGCTTTTAGGTTTATGTATATGTTATTCGCCGATGTTTATCATGTTATTTTTTCGCTCTTCCGTGCTTTTTTCAGATTAAGAAACTCTTAAGAAAGAATGAGTAAAGAAACTGGAGTACTCCAATGACGTTATAAAACTGGAGTACTCCAAGTCGGCCATCATTTTTAATAGAAGAGAAGTGTATTTCAGTTACTCTCTCTTGAATTTTTAATGTGAATCAACTTAATCTTCTATTACCCTTTAATTAACATTGTCCTGCTCTTTTTTCTTTTTGAATAAAGATGAGTTTCGTTGGATACTACTCAATATAGCTGTGTTTCTACACAAGACGTTGCCACTTTGCAAGAAAACCAGATATCTCTTTTGTAATTCTAAGGAGTAGTAATGCACACAAAACAACTGTCTTCTTAAGATAAATCATGTTAACAAGTAGATAAGGTAATTTATTTTGTGGATTGTATATACTCAAATATAAATAGATAAACAACAAATTCAACAAGGGCTAAATAGCCCACGCAGCCAAACCAGCAGGGGTCTTTTTAGCCCACATGCTCTTTATTCCTGGAGAGGCCTAAGTTGAATGTCCTATTTTGGAAGAAAGCAAGGGAAGACAAAAATCTTTCCAATATCAACGGATTGGAAAACTTTTTTATGGTAGCTATAGGAACACCATAAACTCCAAATAAGTCATACTAAGCAAAAAGGTAATACTAAGTTTAGATCAAGTTTAATAGATAATCAGATTCAAATCCAATCAGTCTAACAACCAAAATAATATTTCATAACATTGAGAAGGAGTTCAAATATCTCAATAACTACTGACCTGACATGCAGCAGCAATTGCAAATCCACCACCTAATAAAACCAAGACGCTCCAACAAAGTTTTTCACTCACCATTTGCAAATCAAGCAGGGGTCTTGTAGAGAGTAAAGCTAAAATAAGCACAAAATTATAAACTAACATATGTTTCCAAAAACTATGTCAAGTTACAATAGAGAGAAATCAGAATAAGGCAATCCCAAGAATAAAAGGAAAAATTAGACATTATAATTAAAAAATATTCCAATGATAGTCTGCAAAATCATAATAAAGAAATAAATGGAAAGCCATATGTAATTTTGTGTGATACGGAATAACAGAGTTGAGAAGAACAAAGGGACAATTTGTATGCTTTATCATCTCCTTGTTTAGACAAACCAATAACTAACAACATTATAGGTTATTAAAGAGTCTAAGTCAAAGAGAAAAAAAAGTGATGTCATGTGAATTCTAATTACTTGTGCAACAATTAAATTGTAAATTTTGCATCACGCAAAGCTCAACTTTACATTATAAAGTAGAATGGAAAAAATGATGGGAAGGGATTATAATTTCACATTGATATTATCACTTCATATTTTAGATGCTGAAATAACTTTCAGATATTTGGGTGACAGCTACTTCTTTACAGTGGCAGACATCGTGGGTGAGAATGGAATGGTTGCCCCCTAATATTTTTAGGACAATTGTTTTTTTGTTCTAAAACAATTGGAAAATGTGATGTCATCTTATCAAAACAATAGGCTTGCCCCCAATATTGTTTCCATCCCTGCTTCTTAAAAACTAAAGACAAAACTCATCACTTCAAGCTTAAGCAACTGCCAGAAGATTTAAAACTCTAATCAACATGCATTACTGCCTTCAAGAGCAACAGCCAGTAACCTTGATAACTGTAAAAAATCATTAGCATGCTTGTTTAGGGGTACTTCCTAAATGGCTGTAAAATGGATACCAATAAAGAAGTCACAGTTTTCCAAACCATTCAAAAGGTTTATTGTTCCTATCAATAAGCAGATCCTTCCAATATTTTGAGGTGAACAATTGTATACAATTTGATATGAAAGCAATTACCATGACAATACTTACAAAGGCGAGTTGTGTAAACACGAGCATGGTTTTCCCTCATGAGTGATGGAAATTGAAAAAGGGAGAAGGCTATCAATATGGCTACTGTGCCATCTGTCATATACCTGGGGGAAAACATGAAACTGAATGACTTAAAAAAGCAATTTTCTGTACCATAGTCAGGTGCAAAGCATGTTTAAAAAGACAAACTTGTTTCAAATGGCATCATAGTCAAGTCAACCATAAATAGCCATGTTAGCCAAAGCTATATGCACAAAAAAAACAAAAAGTAATATCGAACGAAGTTTGTGTGAATTTTGAAAAAGGAAATAGTTTGGGAACTTTTTTCCATGATTTTAACCGTTTTGCATGGAAAAATATTAAGAACAATTCTCTTAAGAAAGGTAAATATATTTCATACCCTTTTTTAAACAGCGAGTTCCAACCTGGTACAACTTGTGGATCTTTTGTTAACCAAAGGAGAATCAGGACAACAAGGTGACCTAAAACAGCTTTTTCTGCAAAGCTTTGAAAGGAAATATTATCAAACTTTACTTTGATCGATTTTATAATAAGTGAGATGCCAAATTATCTTAGTAATAGCTGGCAATTACGACAAAAATGTAGCAATTTACCTAATTAAATCAAAGTCTAATGTCATCAACAGAGATCGGAGAAGTCTTAAAATAACTGTATGCTTTAATAAATAATATGTGACCTCAATAACTCAACTATACCATACATACAATACCAAAAATGTTAAGAAAACACAGTATCTTTGTAAAAAATTCCTCACAGTAATAAGATCATTATGTATTCCTTCTTCCTCAATTCCTAGAAGTTATTGAGGTTTTCTAAACAATTAGTTGACAATTACAAAATAGGCCACAATAAGCAAGCACCACAAACAGAAGCAAGTTCAATTAAAACTTCAAGATCAACTGAAAACATCCCAAGGGCTATAGTACATTCAAACCTTAAGGCGAAAAAGAAAAATTGCTCTTGGAAAAGATGAGAATTACCTAGTTTTTCCTAATAAGTTATATTCATGCTTAATGATTTCAAATATGGCATCACTGCTGTTGTCTTTATTCTTCCTGAAACAGCTGACAGCACTCCTTATAACAAAAGAAATTTATAAAAAAGAAGCTTTTTTCATGCCTAGACAAAAGGCATAGCCCCAAACAAAAGACAGTTGATATGGCCAGGTGAATAATACAGACAAGATGGAACCCACTGAATATTCAAAGCAGCAAAATTTTGCTTCAACAAAACAAACCAAGTGTTAATTTCAAAAAAGAAACCTGAATGAGTCCATTCTGAAAATGCCACTGAAAGGATTCATTCAAGGCTTTATTTTACGAATGGCAAAGGTAGTGGCAACTCTAAAAAATATTGCATTGAAAATTTAAGTGTGAAAAATAAACAAGAGCAAACTAATGAACAAACTTTTTAGCTGGAACGCAACAAAAACCCAAATAAATGACCAGAATTGGCTGAAATGTCTCATTGAATATTCTTATCAGATAATGAATTGAAGAAAAGTAATAAACTTCACATCTCATGTAATGGAAAAGTTACCATTACAGCATTGATACAATTTTCAGAAAGAAAAATCTTAAACAATGATAGCTTACTTTGTCCCTAGAAAAAGAACCAAAAGGTAAACCCAGCCAACCAGTAACAAGACAACCATAAGAGGAAAGGCAAAACCAAACCAAGCTGCATAGGAAATACCACCACTTTTCGGGAAAAGCCTAAAAATTAAAATTAAAATGAGGGTAGAAATTTTGCTTCCATTCAAAACAGGGGCAGCTGGGAATTTTTTTCAGCATAGGCTTTCAAAACCTACTGGTCATAGATATTTAAAGTGAAACTGGAAAATCCCTGGCAAAAACAGTTTATTTGGATAGCTTACTGTTTTCCTGCCATTTTGCAATGATATGGCGTGATATGGCCATGGTAAAGCAAGCATAAGCAGCTACTCTTGAAACTGATTTGATCTTTTCAGAAAAAAACCTCCCTCCTGTGCTTGTTGCAATACTTATTGTGTCGCATTAATCTGAGAGCTGCAAACAAATACTACAGCCACAGTCATGAAATTTTGCTATTAGGTTTGTGAATCCTAAAAGCAACTTTCTTATCCACCTTTGTTTGTGAAGTAAAAACGGTGGCAGTTACGCCCTGATAACACAATTATCTCTAATAGCAGTTTAAAATCTCCCCAGCCAACCTTGATCCAAAACTTGGTATTGAAAAAGTTCAAGTGATAAGGCAAACTGAAATGCTATGGTATTGAAAAATGATAAGGCAAACTGAAATGCATACTTAGTTGCTTGTCCTGCAAATATCATATTTGTACCAGTCCCTGTCAAAGTTCCAATACCTCCAATATTTGCAGAAAAAGCTATTGCTAAAAGCAATGCCTTTCCAAACTGCTTTTGATCATCTTGCCTATAAGTTGATTAAACCAGAAAAGTCAGAAAATGTTTCCTAAAAGTTTCTTTGCTACATACCATATAGAGCAGAAATTTTTGACAGGCTTCCTTCCACAGTGAAGATTAACAAAATATTTTTATGACAAGTTTACAAGTTGCTTGTTCTATACATCAGTGGCAATCTACTGTATTCAACAAACATTTAAGAAGAAAAATTTTACAAAAGCCCAATTTAGGTATCAAAATGCAATGAGGCAAATTGGAAGTAAAAGTAACAAATTCAGCAATAGTTCAGCCTTCTAATGGTAAAGATTCAGTAGTGGTTAATAAGCTAAGGGTAGATATTACAAGTAACACAATATTAGACAACAAACTAACTTTTAAAACTAGGAGAACGTACCTAGAATATTCTTTAAGCACCTCCCTAGAACTATTTACATCTGAAATAGTGGCCTGTCTTGCAGGGTCTTCACTCGTAGAGGCAAACACAGTTTCCCTTTGCTGGAGGAAACTATCACTTGAGTTTTCCAAGTCTTCCCTCCCTTGGGCAGCGCTGTTCTGTCTTCTGTCACCAAGCTCAAGCTCAGCCAAAATAACTTTGACAATCTGGACCATCAGAGCAGTAGTTGCTGTGTTACTTAAGAACATGGAAATTCCAGCTGTTGTCAGCATGAAGCCAAATAATAAACTGCAAGCAAAGTAATATTTAAAAATGAATTAAAAAAACAATGAAAGTAAAACACTTTCAGTTACTGCACAAAATTCACGTTTTGATGTCCACGATGTCCATCAACAACACAGCCTCCACAAAAATATATTGCTTTGCTTCTTGAATGTTTCTTCTTCCAAACATATTTTATCTCTGTTCCCAAACTCCCTGTTACTTGGTTGTAAACACTTGCAATAATAATTGTAATTCTAACCTCAATCCTAAGTTAGTTTAAACATGGCTCCTCAACTAACCTTGATTCTAAAAATTTAGAAAGATTTGACATGTGTTTAATTGCCTGCAACCCCCTGCCTCTAAGGCGAGCCTTGATAGAAAGATAGGCATAGGCCATTTCTGTGGCCAAACGGCAATCACAACTGTCACTTATTTTGTGTTTCCCTGCACCAAGTTGATGCTTACTTAAATTCAAGTGTGTTTGGAAACTGATTAACTTTACATTAATTTTATTATTTCTAAAAATCTTATTATTTTAATTGGTGATTTGATACAGTTGACAGATAAAAAATTTGAAGAGAAACATTTTGGATAATCTCATACTAATAAACATACAAACCTACAAGTGAATAAACAGTGATAACAAGAAGTTGCTCATTTCTACCGTGCGTTCGTGCACCAGGTCTGGACATGGGCCGACGTACACAAGGTGCACATTTTGTCAGGCACCTGCTTCACAAAAAGTGGCAATATTGTGAGCCTCAGGTCTGGTCTGGAGGCCAGTAAAAACTACCCACTTAAATATAAATGACTGTTTATGTGTGCTAAAAGAGAATAAAAATCTACCAACATTGCAAAGACTTATAAGTAGCAATAATCATTGTAAACCTCTTCATTGTTCTAAGAAGGATACTTCAATAAAATCAGAAGTGTATGCTGCTAATTATAGCTAGCTGGGAAAATATCTCCTTTAAAACCAGTACCATAGCAGCTCTATGGAAAAGGAAACATCACATCTAGTTACATATAAGAAAAACAGTTATAATTTCCATATGTAAGACGGCTACTCACTTCTGCTTGCGTGTGCCAAGAAGTAGAAGTATCTTCAATGCAATTCTTTTGTGTAGATTCCATTCTTCAAATGAAACAAAGACAAGCAATCCACCAAGAAACAAAACATTTGCATCTTGAAAGTAGGTAGCAGCAACAGCACTTGTACTGAGCACACCAAGCAGTGGAAATAGAACAATTGGCAAAAGTGCAGTCACAGCAAGTGGGCAAGTTTCTGTTACCCAGTAAATAACTATAATAAGAATACCATACCCAGCTCTGCTTTCCTGAAACAAAGATAGAAATACTCAAGTACTTTGCATAAAAATAGAGCATCTCAAAACCATTTTCCAAGCTGCCTGTCAATTTATGAAATGAACACCAGAATTTAACTACCTCAATGCCTTCCTCCAGCTTTACAGTGTCTTACGTTTAGCATGGAGAAAATTATAAACTGCTAGAGAAAACATGAAATAAGACAATTGGCAAAGTACATAAAGTCAAATCATAGATCTAAACAATATCAAATTACGCTGTTTTTCCATGAGAAACTTTTTTAAAATTCTTATAAATGAGTTTTTAACCCTCATACAAACAGATGTATTACAAGCTTTAGTTGAATCTCTTTTCTAGATTATCCCATACTCCCTAACTATCATTATGATAAGTTTTAAAGACTAAGAAATAAAAGATTAATCAGTTTTTAAGAGAGGTTGGAACTTTGTTGGTCTCTGGGGCAGATGCTTGGTCAAAAAATTGGAAGGGGGTGAGGTATATTGTTTTGATAACATTACATCACTTTTTCCCCTTATTTCAGAACAAAAAACCATTGTCCTCCAAAATATCACATTGTTGTGGAATTAAAATAATCAAATATTGGAATAAAAGACTTTTGATTCCATTCAAATGGGTTAGGACATTTTCAAAGATACCCGCAGTACCATCACATGAATACAATGACATTAGTAGGTTGCTGCATCAAAAACAGCAGGCAAGAAACATGATTGATTGATTATTGGGCAAAATTTTTATTGCTAGCTTGACTCAGTTCTTACATTTCTGATGAATAAGAACAAGATTTGGCAAATTTAGTCTCCATAGTAATTCCTTGCTGGCCAAACCACACACTGTCTTTGATCCACCATTCATTCTTTTCACTTTTTCAAAATATTAAACAGATAAGAGGTAGCATTTTACAAAGAATTATCTTTATTTCCTTACTCCAAACATGCACTCAGAAATCTTGTAGCTGCAAACGCTTCAGCATTGTATTTCTGGTTAATTTCTAATGCAGTTCTGTCAATGCTTTTCTAGCGCATATTTACCCTAGGTAGAAACAAGCTTTAGAAACTTGTTTCTCTTGATACAGTCTCAAGAGCTTTCCAATGATAACATTAAGTATGAAACTCAGATTGAAATTTAGAACCATCTTATTCTAAACATAAAAGCTTAAAGTACACACTCAAGTGAAATGAAATAACCAGCTCACCATGGTTGGTATTGTTATTAACAGTGGACAAAGCAATATTGGGGTCAGAATCAGAACCAGATAACTTTTCCATGTTTTCCTACCAAGCGCAGGTTCCAGGGCAGCATCTATACCAACTTCTTCATTACTTCTTGCATCAGAAACATCACAAGATTCAACAGGCCTTCTGCTAATTTCTAGCTCAACATCCTGCAACAATTCAGCATTTATGTTGCTACCAGTAATAAGCCTTGTCCTTTCATTGGCATCACTCACTGTAAAATATGCACAACACATAAGATTGTTTTGAAAGCAGTCATTATACTTTTGAGTTACAACCTTTGCAGAGGAGGTGCAGTCATTTTTACTGTGTTTACCAGCCTTCATAGAAACATACTTTTACTTACTAGTTTTCACAGCATATTTAAATATTATTGCATATTAACCATGAAGCTTTAGCTTTCAACAATAGTGAACTGTCAGTTACATCAGTGACTTTTAATTACTTGATATTGTTCTAATCTACAGACTTGAAGGCTTTTTATCTTAACATTTTTTGTCTTTTTATGAGCCCACTGATCAGCCTCAGAAGGCATTCGAAAACTATCCTGCGTACATTGGCTCTTGTGGCCGACCAATGTGTCAGTGACAGTAGATTACTGTGAGGTGAAACGAATGATTAAGGGGGTAAAGGCATTCAGACTTTTTCAAAATACTATTGGCAAACATGTTGTATCATTTAGCTCCAACAGATAGTGAATCAAATATTATTGAATTGAATATTCTCTGTTCTGGGCAATTTTTTATCTTCGTATTCACCAAAAATGAATCACAGAATCGGAATCTTCATGTTCAACTTAGTCTATGCCAAAATTTCATGTTGTTTGGGCCGTCAAACTGAGATTACCCTGTTTTCAAAATTTAGCTTAATTCTTTACATTTCAATGAAATTAGTTGCTGTAGTGACATTTTTTCAGCAAATTCCAGTTAAATCTAAAGAAATATCAAAATATTCAAAACAAAGTAAATTGCAACCCAAAGGTCCAAACAACACGAAGTTCCCAATATAAACTAATTTCAAGATGAAGATTTCAAATCTGCAGTCTATTTTTGAGAAAAATCTGTAGATAGTGAGATACAGAATCAATGATATCAACCAGGAACCGCGGATTGCTGGGATCCTTTAGAATGTGATGCACTATTGTATGTGCATCAAAGAACAATAGAATTGCAATATTTCCTGTAAACTTTTTTATCAATTGCTTAGAGGAAAAAACAGTTTTTTTTAAAACTTAAAGGAAAATTGATTGCTATTGGTTTTAGATCTTAAAATAAAAGGCACTGCATAGACGTTTAGCAGGGTTATTTGCAGCCTTTACTGATTTACGTGTATTTATTGTTGTTTTTTCTCGGCGTATTGCGGTGTTTCATATTTGCTACATTATTAGAGAAGGTTAGCAGGTGACGCTTTCATGAAAAATTATCCTTTGATTGCGGGTTGTCGCTAACAGCAGAGTTTCCAAACATTTCTGAGAATTTCATTTTCTGATCATTCCCAAAGTGTAATTTCAATATTTTGGATTGTTGCCCCTCACTGATTTCTAAAGTTTCACTGATTTCTAAAGGTGAGTTGAGGCATTGTTACCCTGGTGTTGCAAACCGCCTCTCTTCTACTCTAGAAAATTCTCTCCGGTTAGTAGAATAGAAAAGCAATCAACGAACTAATAATAACTAGGATGATGCACCAAAAAGAAAATTCACCAACTTTTAGCGAAGGTCCTTCACCAACAAAGTTGTTGATAAATCCACATACTGTTTCACCCTTTCAAATTTTCACATTTCGTTTCACATTTGCCAAGCCTTTTAACTCCACCACCTCCCTCTCCCAAACAATCAAGTTTGTGGTACGTTTGGAAACGAGGTCATGTTGAATTTGACTTCGAGGCATGGAGATAGGAAAATGGTTTGAGAGAACTCCATAGATAAGGGTGTGGTGAACATGTTCCCATATTTTACGAAATTAAAGCCGAAAATTATCTAAACGCTAGTGTCTCAACGTTTATTCATTTCGTGTTAATTTCTGTGATGTGTTAATAATCAAAGCTATAGATTGTATATTCTTTTATAGAACTAGACTTCGATGTAGTTTAACCCTTTTTTTTCAATGTGTTGTAATTTTTAACAAAGTTAATTTTATCGCAGATGACTGAAAACTTTGCTCAAAATTCGAGGCGGGGGGTATCTTACCATGTTTGAAGATCCGGGGATGTGCCATTAATTAGAGGTAATTAGGTAAAAGAGGTAAAAGGACGTTTCCCCGCATTTGCGAGTGTTTGAAGGGCGTGGTCCAAAAAAATTTCTCCAGACCCCCCACTACTAGAGCACTGGGTACGCCACTGATTTCACGTTTTATAAACGATGGAGGAAAATTAATTGGGAGTGTTCGATCGCCAATCACAACGATGGGAATAGAAATCCTTATCGATTGTTAGTTACAAATCGAGGCGGGCAAATTGAAGCCGCTGGAGCGTTAAAGGGGGGAGCCCCAAAACGCTGGAGCGTTAAACCCCAAAACGAGGGGAAATTACTGAACATTGAAATTTTTTACGACGATGTCCTTGAGATTAGCTTAAAATACATTTGAGAATATCACCCCCACCGCTACGCTACTGAAAAGAAGATAAATACTGATGAAAAATAAATAAAGTAAAATCTTGGCGTTACTTTGTTACTACTGACTACCAACTAATGATTTTTAACAAATGAAACAAAATTTACCGAAGGATACAGAGCTATTGGGGGGTGTCGCACCGCCTACACCCCCGCTAAATCCGTCCCTGATAATTTATGTGGTTTTTAACTCAAATGAATGGAACTGGCTTTCTAATTCTTGATTGTTTGCAATGATAAAAATATTTAGTAATTAAAAGTACCTTAGGGAATTTGTCTTAAGTGCTAAAGGTTCTTTACTATTTCTGTCGTACATGTAGGTTCCTTGTGAAAACAGCGCGTAGGCTTTACCATGTGGGGTCAGCATTCCTCTACAAGCATGCTACAAGCGAACAAGTAACACTATTGCTACAGCCTCTGAACATGCTAACTATTTGATAATATCATAAATCATATATCAACCTAACCAACAAACGTGCAATCAGACTTGTGTCAAAATCAGAGTTGCCAAATTGGATTTACAAAAGAAAGCAAGACGGGTGAGCAACTCAGGCCAGAATGCTTATAAGTAGGGGCCCCCATAGTGGTTGTGATTCACGCATTCATGCATAATTTTTTGACTTTTCGCGCATTCACGCACTGCAAAATTGGATCTTCACGCTCACGCCAACAATAAATGTAATGTCAGCTATTGCTCATCAGAGAACTGTTTGAAAGACTACAGCACTAGTTTCAAACTTTGAATACTAATTTGAGATTTAACTATCATTGGTTTATTACGTATGGTGGCCCAGCATTCTCATCCAAAAAACAGAAACATATTTTATGAAGTATAAAAAAATCACAGATATTTGTGATATATTTGACATTAAATTCAAATTATTTTCTTGAAGATTAAAATAACATGTCAAAAAGCAGAATAAACATAAGAAAAAAATTAAAGAAACATTTCCATTTCCAAGTTTCAAATAGAATTTTTTCTTTTTGTTTCTGAAAATCACATTGAAAGTTGTCAAAAGAAACATTTTCGTTTTCATTTTCAAAATGAAATGTCACGATCGGCCCAGCGTTCTCATAGACCACAATGCTTTGCAAGAATAAGCGCCTCATTTCCATGCAGCTTTTCGCGCCCTTTTTGCTTCGCCTTGTCACTTAACAGCGAAAAACGCATACCTCGTGGTAGCCTATTTAATCTGAATTAATCATGAAGAGGCATGATACTTGGAAAAAACTTTATTAGGTAATGAGTAACAAAAGAACAAAACAAAACGAGGCATCAAATAAAAATAAAAAACTCGGATCTGCCCACACGAGATTGTCATCCAGAAGCTTTCTTAAGACCCGACAATTTAACTCTTTAATTTTTTTATTATGTTTATTCTGCTTTTTGACATGTTATTTTAATCTTCAAAAAAATAATTTGAATTTAATGTCAAATTTACCACAAATAAATGTCAAATTTACCACAAATATCTGTGATTTTTTCATATTTCATAAAATATGTTTCTGCTTTTTGAATGAGAATGCTGGGCCACCATAATTACGTACCAAATTGAGGCAATTTTTTAAGTTGTCACTTGATATTTCATTCAAGAATTCACGGATAGTTGAAGCCTTTTCCTAACATAACGCAAGGAGAACTCATGTTTCATGCTTCACGTAGGATATTGATGAAGAAAAGACAAAAAGGCCTTAGAAAATCGCATTGTCGAAATCTATAAATTAATCCACCATGTCAATTGTAAATAACTGTTGGAATCTTCTCGCTATAGGGAGATTTTTTCGATAACTTTTGTACCAAATGAAATCCTACGGTAGCCCCAAACCGTAACAAAATTGCTGTCCTTCTTGATATTCTATGTTCAAGCTTCAAATGGTTGGTCTACTTGAAGTAAATCAACTGCATTACATTCATACCTCTGTCCTATTAAAATCGAAATTTCTGCCCAAATTAAAATTTTATGCACAATGGTGTATTTTCAGTCTTTTGGCATAAACGTTTTTTAAAGCCTCCTTAGAAATTTCTCCAGGCCAGGCAAGTCTTACCTTAATATTCTTCAAACCATCTCAGTTGTTTTTAGGAAAACAGTCCTGCTGCCATGTAAATTTTTGTTCCCTTATAGTGAGGTAAACATTCATCCTACTAGATTCTTTAATTAAAACTAACAAGTTTTCCTATTCCTTACTTTAAGAAAATTTTCAAAGAGGATTGGTCTTCCTGTTTTGGGAGATTTGCTCAAGAGCTCTGCTAAGCCCATTAAAAGCCCAAGGCCAAACTTCTTTTGTTTTACCATTTTTGTAATTTTCAAGCTATTCTTTGTTTACTGCTGATCTTCTAAGAAATGTACAGTCTTTCTACTTAGGCCAAACAAATTCCTGTAATTTTTAAGCAAACTCTATATCTTGAAAAGAAAGATAAAAACATCAATTTTCTAAACTACAGAAAAAAAGGCAGAATTTCTGAATCCTTTGTTAATCAGATTTTTAAATGAGATCCTTTTCATTCTACCAGAACAGCAGAATATCAAGTTGCAGTCTATTCAATCTTCTAATAAAAGACTATATTTATAAGAAAGTTCAAGGCATGTTAATCACTATGGATACTTTAAAACGTAGTTTACTACGTAGTCTTGTTTCAAAGTAAAATCCTACCCAACTGAAAATGATGTATATTTGGCACCCTTTATAAACTAACTGTACACATTTATCAACTTCTGTCAACAAAACTTAACTGGGACTATGTTCATGTCCAAAATTACTTTTTATTCTTTTGAAGCCAGTCCCATAGTCCTGTGACATCTCCATCATCAGTTACTTTGTGTGCACTTTTCATGAAATTCTTGAACTTCTCAACGGTTTTGGGGAGATTTGGTGATTTGAGTAACTTCTTTTTCACATCCTCTATACTAGCAGGTGCTGCTACAGGCGTTTTTGCATCTTTCTCCTTCTTTTTATCGCTTTTGGGTGTCTTCCCTTTTTTGTCTGTAACATCAGGTGTTTTTGGGTTATTTGGTGTTTTTTGTTCCTCTTGCTGCTTTGCCTTTTGTTCCTGCTTCTTCACTGGTGTTTTTTGCTTGTCATCTTTGTGCCCATTTGTAAGGACCTTTGCCTTTTTTGCTTTTGGGGGTACTAGTTCCTCCTCTTCGTCACTTTCTTCCTCTTCATCAGATAAATCATCATCACTTTCATCATCTTCATCGTCAAGGTCATCTTCATCGCTATCAAGTTCATCACCATCATCATCCATGTTCATTTCTTCATCATCGTCCTCATCGTCTTCAGAAGCTTCATCATCTAACAACCCTTTTTCACCTTCCTCATCATCACTGTCATCATCCTCATCATCGTCATCTTCATCACTATCTGCATCTTCTTCTTTTTCAGGTTTCTTTTTGGAGTCCAACTTTGGCTCTGCTTTCTTTTTTGTCATTGGTTCGACTTTTGTTGTATCCTTTTTAGCTTCCGGGGCTTTATCTTTTTTTTCAGGTTTTTCATCTGAGACAGTTTCTTTCTTTTCGGCCGCCTTGACAAGATCTGGAACATCCTCCTCTTCACTTTCCTCGTCGCTATCACTTTCGTCATCTGACATGTCGCCAAGAGCATGCAAATATGCACCAGAAAGGTGAACAGGCCCATTACCCTTGACAAGTTTAAACGTCGATTTCTCTAAAAATCCTAGATTCAGGGCAACCATTTCAGTGTGACCTATTTGTAGTGAAACAATCGTGTGAGTTACCTCCTTTCCATAGATATCAGCTGTTGTCACATCGACCACATTTCTCTCACCCTCTTTGGCGTCTGCTCCTAAACAGGCATGAGACAACTGTAATTTTACTTCAGTATTGTCCTCTACCTCTTCCGGACCTTTCCACTCGGCGGTCTTACATTTCTTGCTCAATTCGATGCCAAAGAAACCCTCAACTGAGTCCAACGCCATACTCGTGCAGCAAGTTTGACAGAAAGGAATCTCACATGGCAACCTCGGTTTGTGAAACACTGTTGTCAATCGAGGCTGCTCCATAATGGTAGAAGCAAAAAAGGCAAGTGGAAAGCCGGTTGAAAATGGAGTGAGGTTTTACGAAGCAGTAAGTTTGGGAAAATAGACTCTGTCATTTTTTATATATTCACAAAAGCTGTTTAACAGTCATGTCGCTCTTTAGTGGAATTCCAAAAACTTTTATTTCTGTCCTATCAGCTCTCCAAAGGGGTGTGTTTGCCAATTCAAGGTTGGGCCTTCTAAATATTGTACAGAAACCCCAAACCGCAGTGGAGTTACCACTAGTGAATCAAGTAAGAGGAGTTCGATATGGAATGGAATATCAACCAAATAACTACCAAAGAAAGCGTAAGCATGGTTTTCTCAAGAGAAACAAGACTAGAGCAGGAAGATTAATCTTGGAAAAAAGAAGAAAAAAAGGAAGGAAATTTTTATCACATTGACTCGACCTTTCTTAATTTTTTCTTCAGTGATTATGTACAAAATTAAGTGTGAATCTACTACTGATGATAAAAAGAAGCGTTTCTGTTTTATGGCCTATGACATAATATGAAGTATTTAACAATTTTGTGAAAATGGGACATATAGATTCCACGTTAAACTAAAAGGGCGTGTGAAGCAGCCCAAAAACTAAGAGAAGGCCAGGCTGGAAAACTTGCATATGCTTGTAGCGAAGGCTAGGCTGGAAAACTTGTTCTCGCACCTCTAGTGACCCAGAATCTCAAGGAATTCATATATTATACTATACTTTTGTATGAAATGGGCATGGTTGCTTCACAGCTCTAATGCATCTGCTGGCAGCTCGCAGCTGATAATGTGACGTTGGTTGCATTGATGCATCTGCAAAATCATACATGTTTTCCAACCTGGAGAGAAGGGGTTCATTAATAAAGCTCTATTGCACCAAGATAAAATAATAGAAATGGATAGTTTTTACTAAAACCCCTGGATTTACCTCCACTTTAGCCACCTGTTTCTTAATGAAACTTGTTGCTGTCTGGAACAAACCACCTTTGACAAGAGCAAGCCTCAACAAGGTGAATGAGCCTTTGCTTTTACATTTTTATCATGTTTAAGCAAGGGTGGAAAAGATTTTTTTATGCTGCTGACCATCAATTTTTTTTGACAAAATGCTTTTTGAAATGATGTGCTTAAAAACCAACTTGAAAATATTAGCAACTATGTAAAACATGGCTTATAAATATTACATAAGAAGCTACAAGATGTAGGAAAAATGTGTATCGTCGTCCATCGTGCAGTGTTTGGCATGCATCTGTTTTTTTGTGTACCCTGTTTTTATAATTTATTTGTGTTCACTTTTGAAGCCTGGGCCATTCGCTCACAACATTTGCATTTACAATGCTTGACTGTTTTATTCAATGGCTTTTGGCCACCTTGTGGAGTGTTATACGTATAGTATGTATAGACTCTTAAGACAAGTGTGTAGTGAGTTTGAGCACGGTCAAAAACATGGAGCTAATGTCGTCTTTGTTAACCTAATGCATGAGCAGTTGCTTCACTAAAAATTAACAAGAACAAAAAACCCAGAACACTGCATCTGGCCTTGCAAGACAAGGATTCATTCCAGTAGGGTGGAGATGCGGGGATGGAAGCGGTGAATGAATTAGAATTTGATGCACATAGGGTCATTCCTGGCCCATAAAAGCTCATTATACAATTCAATTTCAAGGCGCAGAGCAAAGGTTTTCTGTAGTGCCACTGGCAGATCAGCTTGCAAAATTGGCTATGCACTTTTTCCAGCTCTTTGTTTAAGTACAGTTTCTAGCAACTATCCTTGGACAACTTTCCTGTTTTTGTATGCCCTTTACAAAGATAAAGTTCTGACTTGGTCTAGTTTTGGCCTTGAATTCAAACATATTAAGCTATGAATATACTAAAATGCGTGCGGTACAATATGATGAATTTAAATAACGATCAATGTAGGTAAATTGTACCAGGAAAAATTTTTTAAATTTTTTAAATTAAAAATTTTTTAAAAAATTTTTCCTGGTACAATTTACCTACATTGATTGTTATTTATATTAAGCTATGAATGTTGATAGAACCCAGTGTTTGAACATTTGAACAAAAGTAACAAAAATCAAAATGATCGAGGGTAGCAGCAAAAGAGAGTCAAAATTGTAATGTTGGACTCTTTAAAAAGTAAAATGATCTTGGTTTTTTCATTTCATTTTTTTTCCTAGTTTTGTTTTGTTTTTATTGAAAAGTATTAAAATGACAGAAATATTTCTTATTGCTTGGCTGGCGATAAAGGGTCTATGCCATAAAAAGCTAGAGTAAAATTGTCTTTGAGAAAAAATCTGAAACCCAACAAAGATCTACAAATGGGGCAAAGAATAAAATTCTGAGTTAACCTTATTCCAACAAACTGAGAAGAACATTCTCATTTTGAAAAAAGGAAATCTAATTCTATGGAGGTGCACAGGCATGATAAAAAAGATAATTAACTCAGAAAATTTAATGATTCTCGTCTTTCAAAATGAAATCTAACTCTATGGAGGTGCACAGGCATGATAAAAAAGATAATTAACTCAGAAAATTTAATGATTCTCGTTTTTCAAAATGAAATCTAATTATATGTAGGTGTACAGGCATGATAAAAAGATAGTTAACTGAGAAAATTTAATGATTCTCATTTTTCAAAATGAAATCTAATTATATGTAAGTGTACAGGCATGATAAACAAGTTAATTAACTCAGAAAATTTAATGATTCTCGTTTTTCAAAAGAAATCTAATTCTATGGAGGTGCACTGGCATGATAAAAATGATAATTAACTGAGAAAATTTAATGATTCTCATTTTTCAAAATGAAATCTAATTATATGGAGGTGCACAGGCATGATAAAAAAGATAATTAACTGAGAAAATTTTATGTATAAAAATGGATGATATTTTAATTTGCATGTCAAACTTCTGCCACATATTTCAGGCTTCTTGCCTTTTAATTTCTATGATTAAAAGGCCTTGCTACAAATCAATCAAAAAAGGTCTTAGTCTCACACATTGTAATATTCACTTCATGAAGACCGGCTCAAAAAACTGTTTTACATAAGATAAAGAAATGATTAAATTAAAGCACCCAGTCACAGCTTTGCAAGTAAAAGGAAATGCAAAATCAAGTCTACATGACTGGATACCCATTTACAACAGTGCAATCTAATTTGATTTATATATTCAGATAATACACATGAAAATCTGAATATAAAATACTCTTTTCTCAAAAAGTGACTCTTAAAGAGACATCAAGTAGTAAACAATAAGATTTTAAATTTAAATTTTGTAACTGTGGTGCCAGGGTTTTATGAACAGAAAGTCTAGTGATAATGTCTATTTATTTTACTTTAAACTTACTCTTATGTAAGTCTCTGTTGGTTACCATCTACAAGAATATAAGAGTGCCACTCAACTTTATAGAACTACTTCAATCATAAATTCATTCTATCTCATATTAGCTATTTTAAAGAGCTTGGCAAAAGCTTCATTGCTTTTGAGGGTATTGTTTTGTTTGAATCAATGTATGCATTTTAAGTATGAACTTCTTAATAAACCAAATATTGAAACTGATAACAATCAATTATATCCAAACTAAATTCATTGGTTAAGCCATGTCAGAGAGAACAACTATAGCAAATGAATTTTCAAAAAAATATTTCTACCAAATGTTACCAATCTTGAAGCTAGTGTCATTTGGAATCACAGAAAATGTTTACCTGCTGGCATAGGCAGGTTTACTCCAATTTGAGATTTAGCAGCACTCTCACCAATCATTGAAATCTGATTAAACTCTTATTTTTTCATTGACTTTATTTGCCTTCAAACACACAATCATTCCCATGATTGTACAAATTGTGAGAAGTTGAATTCATCAGGATGTCCCATTGGTGTTTTCCAGCCACTGGTGCTCCATTTAAAAACAGGTTGGTCATCATGTGTTGGCCCTGCTACAATCCAGGCTGATAACTGATTGGCCAATTTAAAGTTTGTTGCCTAAACGTAAGAAATGTGAGCTTGATTGTGTTGGCATATGTTTACCATTACTGCTTTCGAAAGTCATGGTAAAATTTTTCCAGACCACTTTGTGACAGAAATAAAGCTTTTAAAACATTTAATTTGACAAATGAAAAAATTCTCAACAACTTGAGTTTGAGTAGATTTGTATAACCAGAAGTCTTTGTGGCCTGCTGCAAAGTGGACAAAAATTACAAATTTTCTAAGGTTCTGCGAAAAATATTGCTTACATGCTGTAAAAGTTTATAATTGGCAACAAAACACCACCAGGAAGTACAGCAAAATCAACAGAAAACATTTAGAGGCAAAATTTATGGTTCAAAGGTGGCAGAGTGGTTAAGGTCGTGAAATACAGTTCTAGGGTTGAAATCCCTGACATGACCCAACTTTTACCTGGAGTGAGAGGAGTTGTCAGCTGTATGAATCACATGTTGTGGTCTAATTGAGAGGAAGGACAAGGACACTGTCTAATAAGCAGAGTTTTTCAGTTCCTAGAAACTACCTCGGGATGCTTGGTTCCTAGTTTCTAGAAACTACATTGGAAAAAAATTACAAAAATACAAAGCATTAGAAATTAAATGTCTTTAAATACCTCAGAAAAAAGTTATTTGAGCTTTTTCTTACTCAAAAAGAAACTTTCCACATCAAATGAAAATTTTGACATTTCGGTTATAGATTTTTTTGTCTAGATAAATATAAGCTTCAACCTTCCAATTGTAAGTTTGAATCACAAGGCTTTTGCATACAAGTTGGATATCATCTATGCAGTGACAGTAAAGATGTTTTTTGAGGGGACTGTAGAGGGTAGCAGAGAGTAGAAAAAACAACTAGAGAACCAAATAGCATTGATGTCTGGCAATGTTTTACCTTACAGTCAGTGCCACCATGCCTTCTGTGTCCTAAGGCACTGATTGGATATTTGCCATCAGCTGGGTTGAGATCTGATCTTGCAGATATAGCATTCTCTGCACTGTATGGGGGATTACAGCCTTGACATTTTGACAACGGGTCTGTTTTAAACTTGTTGTACCTGAAAAGCAAACCAATATAATGTTGGATCTACAAAGTAAAACTGTTAAATGGTATCAGTTGGGGGAATTGTTAAGATATCTAGCCTTGATAACAGAAATGGAAACAACAGAAAATTTTTGTGCTACAGTTAAAAAGGACCCTAGACTGATCACATGATGTAAGTCCTTCTTTTTACTAAAAACAAGTTTGCTTTGCCAGTTAAACACTGTAGAAATCAAAGGAGGCTATATTGATCATATCAAAAGGAAACAACCCCCTTCCAAGGATACATTTTTACCAAGAATTAGGCCTATAATCAAGAAAGCAATTTATTTGATTAATTTTTCGAATAAACTCATCTTGATACTAATTTGCAAATAAAACAAATTATTTTAAAGGCTTCAAAGATCCCGAAGCAACAGTAGATGAAGACCTGACTGTTTATGGGGAGCAATAGTTCTAATTACCCAAACATTTGCTAACTCAAGCTTTATTAATGCTCCTTTGGAGGTTTGAGTTATCAGGATGTCCCAAACATTTTTGAAATTGATCAATTTTGTATCTAACTTCAACAATAGTCCTTTGCATGAATCAAATGCACCCATTGGGCCAGAGCCTTGTTCTTGAAAAGTAGGTTGTGCAAAAACCAGATCCAAACTATCCAAAAATACTGGCTCTATTTCAGAAGTAGATTTGGACTGCAATCCCTGTCCAGATTGCAAACAAATTATGATGCAGAGAATGTTTAGTATCCAAATTTCTCTCCATCCATATGCAATGACAACCAAAGAAAAAACTTAACAGAGAACTACTGGGCCAATTCTTGACAAAACATTTTCCTCTGAACCATCGCTTTTGTCATTTGAAGTTGTGAAAATTTGTATCTGATGTGGAAGTAGGGGAGGATGAATCCGATTATTTGACCCTGCTTACTATACAGTGAGAAAAAGTTGATGTTGCCATACGTTATTATGAATTTGAGACAAAAATGTCAATGGCAATATCAACAATCAAATCATGATAGTGATCCTCTCTCACTTTAAGTTTGCTAAATGATCACAATCCTGATCTTACTGCTGTTAGCTCATGTAAAAGGGGGTCTCGTCTTTGCTATGGAAAGAATTACTTCTTCCCTTGTGAAAAAAGACAATTGATTAGTTTTACTTTGTTGTGTTTCAGAATTCTCCTGGACAGTTAGCACATTTTAAGTATGTAAAATGTATGGACAAAGCTCACAGAAAAAAGGGAGCTATTTGCAGGCTTCGAGGAGCCCTGGGCTATTTTGTTTGGCCCTATTACATATTTATCATGGAATACAAAACTTTTCAAAATGCATTACAACTGTAATACCAGAATTAAAAAAGGACAGTCTACGTATGGTTTATTATTTTGCAGTAGTCTAGAAGTCACTTGCGAGATAGATTATGCAACAGAGGATGTATATGTGACAGACAGATAGGATATATCCAAAGACAAAAAGAGCATCCATGATACATTTTGTAAAATAAATTATATCATAATCTGTTATGTAAAAGAAACCTGGAATTTTGTAGCTTATGACAAAGGAGTTTTTTGGATTGCAGTGCACCTGTCTACTTTTACTCAGAGTAAATTTCATCAAATTTCCATGAGGAATTTATTCAGCTACCCAATTTATACCAGGTTAATTTTGAGGTACGTACTACCTGAAAGCAGATAAATTGCTATGGTTATTTTCAAGTACCCACTTATGTAGGGGTTCAGAAAAGTGATGGTGAATGGCGATCTGCTGGGACCTAAGGGGTGAAAACTGGGGTGAAAAAGTTACCACTTATGAGTAATGCCTCTGCGGAGGAGAAAATGGAAAATTTCCATGATTTGGAACAGCACAAGTTATATTTTTCGCTTCACAACAGCAAGTAAGACCATTTCTTTAGAACATCCAGTTGAAAACATTCCCTTTTCGTAATTTTTAAGGGTCATCTGATCACAATTTACCCATGACCATGTTAGCAAATAATATACTCATAACAAAAAAATATTACTAATGCAGACTTTTTCTCCATCTATTAATAGATGGCTTGAAAGAAAATAATCAAAAAAGCTTAAATGGAAGGTAAATGCTTCAAATTAGACGACTGACAAAACGCTTATATGCAGCTGTTCAACTTATCTTCTTTTTTATATATATATCATTAAATCTACGTGAATAATAATTAAAGCCCTTACTTGCTAAATGCAGCTCTTACGTTCTTTGACTAATACTATCAGTCTACTATCAAAAAATTACTTTGCTAAGCGCAAAAATCCTAAAAACCGCAGCCAAAAAGTCCAGGAAATATTTGGATTGGCAGCATAGTCTTGAAAATTACTAGGAGATAAGGATAATTTATCTTTGCATTGCAGTTGCATCTATATAGAATGCAAGTAATACAAATTTTTATACAAGTTATACAAAGCTTTGCTTATACAAATGATGCACACATTATGAAACAAGAAATAAACAAGAATTTGACGCACCTCATAACTGTAAACAGTGAATGCATATCAGTTATTTTTGAATGGTCACGTTTGAAAATCTGGGATCTTGGAGTGAGATCATAGTCAAAAAATGAACCCATTTTGGCCTTGGCCGATGCAAAACCACTCAGGTTGTATATGTACGGGAAGTACCTACAAAATAGAAAAGATTCAGAGTAAACATAAGACATTACCAAGATTACCAGAGCAAGCATGTAAGACACTCAAAGGCAGGCTAACAAAACTGGTTCAGTGTTTGCTCGGTTAAATGAGGTAGATGCAGGGCAGGAGACGTAGTCTGAGAATGTAGCCAACTTAGTTTAGATTTAGTCGAAGAATGTGTCAAATTTAGGTCTAGATGTAGTCTTTGTGGTTATACATTTCAGGGGCAGTTTCTGGAATTCTGGAAGAATAATTTTTCATTGCAAAAACTGACTTAAAACAAAAGTAAAAGAAGAAGAAACATGTGGCTGAACTTGCAAAAGTTGAATGCTTCAAATCAAAAGATAGTTGATTCTTTCAACCATGATTATCCAAAAATCTTAACTTACTCAACTATAACCAGACAACATAACTATCGGTTTTAAAAAGAGTCCCGAAAATGGGTAAACATGCCAAGGGCAAACACTCTCTAACACAGCTTACGTGTTTGTCAAAAGATAAGCCCTGAACATAATTTGCAAAAATGTTATTCAAATCATGCATTGTATTATAGCTAGATTTGCTTTTGCTACCCCTGTTAGGCACATTTTTTCCAAGCTTCATTTGTGATGATGGTTTTTTTAACTTTTGCAACCTTACACAGCAACTGTAAACAGGCTTTTTACAAAAAATTATCATACTTTGTAAATCATTGTGTGATTTTCTTTATAGTTTATACATACGGTACGTTAAAACTCGCCCAATACGTCTGGTATTGCAATTTCATGCTCATGTCCCCCATGTGTATGGTGCCAGGAATTTGCTCAAGAATCCAAAGAGTGTTTGGTTGCAATGGTGACTCAGGCTTGAAGAGTTTGTAATCAACGACCATCCACTGAAAGAAAAATCTATATCTTAAATGGTTTAATAGGAACAAGTTTTATAAAAACATCAAAGATTTTCAGAAGACTTCACGAAATATTTTCTAGCAAGGGACTGAGTCAAAGCGAGACACTCCAGTACAAAATGTGTATCATCAAAACCAAAATCAAAACAAATTCAAGGAGATTACTCTGATTTTCTTCGTTTTTCTTAATTAGCATTTAACTGGATAGTTTTGCATCCATTTTTCTATACCTATAGGTTTCTAGGCTCAGTTAGAGCTTGAAGACTGATAAAGTTTTACTGGATACAAGAGGTACCAGGAACTACATTTTCATGAACTCTCTAAAAGGCATACTTAAAGTTATGATTTTGATTCTTGAGTGAATTTCTGCACAAATACTATTTTTCACATCTATTCATTCACTGTTTGACACAGTCTAAATTTACTAGATAGGCTACAGTTTTGCAGCAGTGAAATAAGATGAACCAGTTTTGCCTTTAGCAGAAAGATACCAATCATTTTTCTGTGACAATCAACTTCAGATTTCTCAGAATTCTAGGAATTACGTATCCCACCTGGTTGTTATACCTGTTGATAGAAAAGAACTCAGGGTTAATATAAAACAATGGTGTTTGAGGGCCAGTAAACGATTAAATGACACCGGTATGCACAATGCAAAAAGACTGACTGCCTACACAGAGATGAGGTCTTGTCGTTGTGTATCATTAAAAGCCTTAGACAACTTGGGATTCACCAAGTTTTAAAACAGAAAAATCAACCTAACTCCAAGTTAAACATTTTATAGCAACATTTTACAGCTAGAGATTAACAAGATAGAGAAAGTCACAGGAACCAAGGTGCATGTCCCTCTCGTGCAGTAATACTACTTTCAGACTATCATCAGCCTTAATATTCAGGACAAACAGTGTACAAATTCCCAACACCTCTACTGAGTCTGATGTATATCTGTTCTAAATAGATACCCCTCAATTTGAGCGGTTGCATGGACATCTGTTTGCTAATGCATGTATGTTACCCAGCATGTTCTTAGGGATCTGGTTTGAGAGCTAGGCTAAAATTGCAGAGATAATGAATTATAGTAGTCAACTTAGAGAAAATCAAGGTTCTGTTAGTAATCAGTATACCGTTTGTGTAGACAACCTCCGAAAAAAATTGCTTTTTGTTTTCCCAAACGTGTCTGCATAGTTTATTTAACTGTCCCCCTATACACACCAATATGCAAAGAGCTTGCCAACACAACAACGAAACTTACAAAAAACTGGTTAACAGTAATGGTTGATCATGCTATATTCTAATACAGACAGTACAAGCTACTTAGATGCTACAGATTCTTACGTTCCACTGTTGTACTTCTCAAACATGTAGCACCATTGATCAGCTGAGGTTGCCAGTCTGTTTGCAACTATGGTACGTGCAAACTCCAGCAAAGAGTTTGGTGTGATAAACTTCCACAAATCAGCATTCATGTTCCCAATAGTTGTCTCTTGTGATACCTAAAACGACATGACATGTAACAATTTAAGATTCTCTACAGCAACTCTATATCAAAAGGTATTTTTAGTCATTTTCTTTGATTTATATGTGACATTCAACTTCAGGATCAGTTTCTTGTACTGAAATTTTAAGATGGCCGGGAAATTTATAGATGGTGAAAATTTGTTACAAAAAATAAAACATTTTTCGGTTAACGGAAAATCCTAACCTATGAAATCGCTTGAATGGACGAGCAGCTGTACCAGAAATCTTACTAAGCTAGCAACAAATAAATTAAAACACAAGATGACACGAAAGACAACAAGGATATTCATTGCCATCTGGTGGCTATTTCAACGACATAGTGTTGATACACAGCAAAGGAAATTGCACAGTTTCATTGCTGAATCATTCACAAAGTTAACTGACAATAAAGAACTGAAAAATAACGGAATAAAATTCAAATAGGTTTGCGTACCAAGCCACTGCTAATTATGTGAAAATCATCTCCGCTGTAAAGCAAGCCAGGGTATGATGAGAAGCTAACATTGATGCCACTTATCAGTGGGCCTCGTTGTTGACCTGAAATAACCCAAAAGGAATAGGCTCGCAAATCACACTTAAAAATGTACTGAAAATAAAGGCTAAAAGTCTATGAATTAACATAGAATAAATTAAGAGCTTTAAAGTAGCATTAAATGCATTCATAGTGTTGGTGGGTGTTCTATGTCTTTAAAGAACTATGTAAACCATGGAAAA